AGCTCCTGGCTTTCCTTTGTGGATCTTTGAAGAATTGTTAGAACACATTACATGAATTGAAGTAATGATCACAGTTTTGAAAAATACTGCTTATGTTATACTAAGCTCAAATAAGCCCACCAAGGTTCCTTGGTCTCTTTAGATACTAAGACAGATTCTGCCTTTCACATTGTAGATACTGAGCTATAAGCCTGAAGCTTTACAATGTTATTGAACAGAATTTCTATTAAGAGCGATTACAACGTACTCTGACAATAATTATTTCCTGTTACAAAGTGTGATGCTTACAGAGCACATTTTTGGTTTTAAGATATGTATGCTGGCTCGTGGGGGGATGTGAAGTTGAGTAGGAGCCTGTGTTAAATTGATCTTCAGGAACTATTTTAGTCAGCACTTTAAACTACATTTAGATATCTAGTGCTATTATATCCTTGAGGTCAATAACTTCCTTTTTTGCTGCTTACTTTACAGATTTATAAAAGCTTTCTGTCCATTGTTTTTTGGTATGTATATTCTGTGTGATCCAGCATTGTACAAGATACCTGGTAGATTATCAGTGGACACTTATTTGAAGAGCTGTGTCACACTTACATGTAACATTACTTGGTTAGTCGAAACCTCAATCCTTGGCCACACTTCAGACTCACCTTTAAGATGAGGCCTGTAAGCCTACCCTCCCTGAACATCATGCTTCATTGCTCTTCCTTCCCTATTTACCCCTCCCCCCCCCTTCCTCTCCATTCCTAAAAGAACTTGACTTTACTGTCTGATGAGAATGTAAATGCCTTTTTTTTTTCTTTTGGTTTTAGGGCTTGGACTCTGGGCCTGGGGGCTGTCCCTGAGCTCTTCGGCTCTAGGCGAGTGCTCTTACCACTTGAGCCACAGCTCACTTCTGGTTTTCTGGTGGTTAATGGGAGATAAGAGTCCCACAGACTTTCCTGTCTGGGCTGGCTTTGATCTGTGATCATCAGATCTCAGCCTCCTGAGTAACTAAGATTACAGGTGTGAGCTACCAGTGCCTGACTTGTAAATGCCATTTTTAAAAAACTAGGAATTTTGTTTTGTTCACTGCTTTATTCATCCCCAGAACCTTGTGTGTAATAGGCAACAAGTTTTCTGAAGATATAATGAAGGTTAGAAATTGTACCAAATGTCTGGAAGAATATAAATACAAATCAGAAAGGAAGGCAGCCTTTGTGAACACAGATAACAGTACCTTAAGTTCAAGCCTGTACTGGCACCAAAAGGTGGGGTAGGCAGAAGGTGTCGCTTAAGTGATAGAGTGTATTGCAAGTGAGAGGCCCTGAGTTCAAACCTAAGTGTCACCACTGACTCAAAACAGACAAACAAACATAAAACCCCAAAACCATAATTCAAATGTAGGGTTGAAAATGTTGTTGGCAAACTTTTTTTTTAATTATTTTTTGGCACATCCTGGGGCTTAAACTCAGGGCCTACACACTGTCCCTGAGCTTCATTTTGCTTAAGACTAGCACTCGACCACTTGAGCCACAGTGCCACTTCCAGCTTTTTCTGTGTATGTGGTACTGAGGAATCAAACCCAGGACTTCATGCATGCTAGGCAAGCACTCTACCACTAAGCCACATTCCCACCACTCTTGGCAGTAAACTTGACAAATGAGTTAGATAAGCAGAACAAGGGAAATGGAAGCCAAGATGACTCTTAGGCTTTTGAATTTGTGGCAAGTAAGGCATGCTGTAATTCAATACAAGAGCATGGAGGAAGAACAGATTTGAGAAAGAATATTAATTTAATTGTGAGCATATTTTGAGGTGGGGAAGTATGGCAGGTAGTTGGAAAGCTACCAGGGCACAGATTTGAGAATTATTTGCGAAGTGTATTTTGAAGACCTGAGATTGCAAAGGAATATGAGACTATGAAGAGAAAGAATGGGAAAATGGCAGAGAGCAAGTTCTTAGGAAGTATAGCTTAAGGGATGGGGGGCGGGGAGGGGGGAGCCAAAGAAACAAAAACCACAAGTAGAATTAAGAAAAGACAACATTGGTAAAACCAGGTAAAGATTTTCATGAAGAAGGAAGGTTCAGATCTGTTCAGTTTAGAAGGGACTCTGTAATCTCGAAGTGTGTGATAGGCAATTGTTCCTCAAAATATTGAGGAACTTCATAAAGATCTTCTCTAGGGCCGGGCGCTGGTGGCTCACGCCTGTAATCCTAGCTACTCAGGAGGCTGAGATCTGAGGATCGCGGTTCAAAGCCAGCCCGGGCAGGAGAGACTGTGAGACTCCTATTTCCAATAACCACCAGAAAAACCGAAAGTGGCGCTGTAGCTTAAGTGGTAGAGCGCTCGCCTTGAGCTGAAGAGCTGAGGGACAGCGCCCAGGCCAGAGTTCAAGCCCCACGGCCAACCAAAAAAAAAAAAAGATCTTCTCTAGGTTATTATATCTAATACAGTATAAATATAATTTTTGGTATTCTATATTGGCCAAGGAATGACAAGGAATAAAAAGTCCGTATGTGTTCAGTAAGACATATTTTCCTGAATGTTTTTTATTATTCATTGATTGAATCTCCATATAGAACCCTCTGATAGGAAGGCTGAATATATATATTATCCTCATAAAATACGATTCTCTAACATTGTAGAATTAAACTCAAACCCAGGGCTTCATGGTTGAATGAATACTCATTGAGCAGTACGCCTAGCCCTGTGAAGTTTCTTGATCTTACCTGCATGTGTTTTCCCCTTTAGTTAACGGTAAAACCCCTAGCCAGCAATAATCAAAGGATTTCTCATTGCAAGGAAGAAAACAGGAGCAGTAGGAGGAGTGCATGTGTTTTTATCTTATATTTGAGCTGTTTGGGATATTAATTAGTTCAGAATATTTGCAAATGGTACTGCTTCTACCACTTTAGTAGGTAGGTGCCTTTGGAAAACAAAACAGAAGCCTAGAATAGGAAAGGAAATAGCTTACTAGAAGTGAGGGGAAAAAGGCACCCAGAAGAAGCCATCAAAACCTCTGAAGTTGTTTGGTTGAAAAGCAGATTAGGAAGATCCAGACGCATTTTGTGAGAAAGAAGCAGTTAGTAACATAGTACTGCATTTCACCCAGGAAAGACAAAGTCCTGATAAAGACCCTCTAGTGGATAGTATGACTGAAGAAAAATATGTCTTATTTCAGAGCATTTTTTTGGCTTGAAATTTTATAGTCAGTTCAGTTGTTTTTTAATTTTAAAAAATTAAGTAGTTGTCCAGAGGGGTTTTAATTCAGATTATGAGTCCAGTGCATTTTAATCAATGCCACCCCTTCCATTGTTCTCTCCCACCTTTCCCTATCTCACCCAAACCCTCAAGTTATGTATTTATCAACTTAAAGATAACTTTGTGTGTGTGTGTCCTAGTGCTAGACTTTGGAGTATAGGCACTCACTGTCCCTTAGCTTTTTTTTTTTTTTTGGTCCTGTTGTGGGGCCTGAACTCTGGGCCTGGGCGCTGTCCCTCAGCTCTTCTGCTCAAGGCTAGTGCTCTACCACTTGAGCCACAGCGCCACTTCCGGCTTTTTTCTTTTTGCTTATGTGGTGCTGAGGAATCGAACCCAGGGTCTCAGGCATGCAAGGCAAGCACTCTACCACTGAGCCACCTTCCCAGCCCCCTCCCTTAGCTTTTTTATTCAAAGCTAGTTTCCTACCACTTGAGCCACAGCTCTACTTCCAGCTTTTTGGTGATTAATTAGAGATGAAAGTCTCATAGACTTTCCTGAAAGGCTGGGCTGGCTTTGAACCATAATCCTCAGATTTTAGCCTCTTGAGTAGCTAGGATTATAGGCAAGAGCAATCCTCACCTGATTAAGAATAACTTTTGAAGGCACTTGTGGCTCATGCTTGTAATCCTAGCTACTCAGGAGGCTGAGATCTGAGGACCATGATTCAAAGCCAGTCGGGGCAGGAAAGTCTGTGGGACTCTTTATCTCCCATTAACCACCAGAAAACTGGAAGTGGAAAACCAGAAGTGGCATTGTGGCTCAAGTAGTAGAGTGCTAGTCTTGAGTTGAATTGTTCAGGGACAGTGCCCAGGCCCAGAGTTCAAGCCCAACAACCAACAGCAACAAAAAGTGGAAACATGATCTGTGTTAATTGGTAGTCCAGTGTCTTTGTAATCATATTGAGTTGGGCGACTGTGGGGTAAAGTTGATTAATTGTCTGGAACCATGACCTTCTCAATCTTTGCCTCCCAAGGATCAGGAATAACAAGTGGGCACCACTGCACTCACCTATTGGCTGTAAAGCGGTCATGTATATGCCCTGGCTGGCAGGCTCAAATTACGATATATCTGAGTTCAGCCTCCCAAATAGGTAGCATTACAGGCCTGCGCCACCCACCTGGTACCCATCTAGGCTTAGGAATTTAAGGTTAAATACAAGACTGAAGGTGTTTTATTTGTTTTGTTTTGTTTTTTAATTAAAAAATCTAAGCCTCGTTCTGGTGGCTCAGGCCTGTAATCCTAGCTACTCAAAAGGCTGAGATCTGAGGATCACAATCCAAAGCCAGCCTGGACTGGAAAGTCTGAGAGACTCTTATCTCCAGTTAAGCACCAGAAAACCAGAAGTGGCACTGTGGCTCAAGTGAGCCCTTGCCTTGAGCTGAAGAGCTCAGGGACAGCACCCAAGCCCAGAGTTCAAGCCCCTCGAATGACAAAAAATAAATAAAACATCTAGAATGGGGAAGTAAGTAACCTGGTAACTGCAACAGTATTTATTGTGTTTAATTATGTTTGCATCTTTTGTCTGAGGGTTGAGCAAAACAATTTTCTGAAGCTCCTATTTAAATAAGGACAATATCAACAACTATTTTCCCTTCTCCTGTAGTTCTGTGTATCTGAATAATCTTGGCTAGAAAATATATTTGGAGAACTTCTTACTAAATTAATTTTCTTGTTTATATTACTTATATATCATGGTGAATTTAGTGTATTTAAAACTAAAATGGGCTTGTTTAATTATTTTATTTCTGATTATTTGTAGGCGAAATCTAACAAAACTGTCCCTGATCTTCAGTCACATGCTGGCAGAACTAAAAGGCATTTTCCCAAGTGGACTCTTTCAAGGAGACACATTTCGGATCACTAAAGCAGATGCTGCAGAATTTTGGAGAAAAGCTTTTGGGGAAAAGTAAGTCTAAATGATCACTTACTTGAACATGAAAAATTAAAGCTTATAAGTTTTTTTTAGAGATTCTTAATTCATGAGATAAGTAAAGACTTTGAGAAAAGTAAACATGCATTTCCTACCTATGGTAAATACCAACTTCTTGCCCTTTATAATTTAAAGAATTAAGTTTTGTAAATTTAATTGAAGCTTGTGCTTTCTGATTGACTACTGTTCTTTTCTCTCCCCATCCAGTCTGCTATAAGAGACATTTACCTTTCAAATTATTCGTTATTGCAAAACAGTGCTTTGGTGAACAATATCTTAGGGGTTCTTTTGGTCATGGGGCTTGAACTCAGGGCCTGGGTGCTGTCCCTAAGCTCTTTTTGCTTAAGGATAGCAAACACCCTGTCACTTTGAGCCATAGCTTCACTTTTGGTTTTCTGGTGGTTGTTTGAAGATGAGAGTCTCACAGACTTTCTTGCCTGACTAGCTTTGAACTATAAATCCTCAGATCTCAGCCTCCTGAGTAGCTAGGATTACAGGTCATCAGTGCCCAGCTTCATATCTTGGTTTTAGTAAATAAAATTTCTCATTACATACCTAGGAGTGGTATTGCCTAGTTGCTCTCCAAAGAAGTTGTACCAGTGTATATTCCTTCCATAGTATTAGAGTTCCAGGACTAATGGTGCAGCCCGTGGCCTGGCATGTTCTAGGCGCTCCATTTACTCCACAGCTCTGCAAAAAACAAGAAAATATCTAGCCAGGCACCAGTGGCTCACGCCTATAATTCTAGCTACTCAAGAGGCTTCGATCTGAAGATTTGCAATTTGAAGCCAGCTTGGGCAGGAAAGTCCAAGAGACTCTTATCTCTAATTTATAGCCAAAAAGCCCCAGAAGTAGAGCTGTGGCTCAAGTAGTAGAGCACTGTCCTTGAGCATAAAAGGTATGGGACCAGCACCCAGGCCCTGAGTTTCAAGTCCTAGTACCACTTTATATCTGAGGAGAGAGTATTTAGTAATGTAGTTGAGGCTTTAAGGGGTGTGGCTCAGTGATAGCTGATAGAGTACATACTTAGCTTGAGACTTCAGTAGGTTCAGTCCTTAACATTATTCCGCCCACCCTAACAGAAATCCTGGTTGTGGGGTTATGATAAGATTTAAGTTCGGGCTGGGAAGTTGGCTCAGTGATAGAGTGCTTGCCTTGCATGCCTGAGGCCCTGGGTTCGATTCCTCAGCACCACATAAGCAAAAAGAAAAAAGCCGGAAGTGGTACTGTGGCTCAAGTGGTAGAGCACTAGCCTTGAGCTGAAGAGCTGAGGGACAGTGCTCAGGCCCAGAGTTCAGGCCCCACGACCGGACCCAAAAAAAAAAAAAAAAAAAGATTTAAGTTCAACTTTATTCCTTTAACTTGATAACAACATTAGAAAAGACTTCAGCTTAGGGACATGTCTTTAACAAGTTCAAGGCCAAGATTATGAAAAAGGAAAATTCTATGTCTTGTTGGCCTTGTTCTTTTTGCTTGAAGAGTTTTTTTCATCTGTCAGTTCTCTCTTCTTCCAGGATCTTGAGTCTATTTCTTCCAGTCTAGCTTGCTAAAAGAACATGGAATGTTTTACATGCTTAATTTAAAGCTGAATGTATAGGTAGTAAAGGTCTAGCCACAGATACCACATTTTTCATATAGTAAAAAGATAACCTCAACTCTTTCTGCTTCTCTAACAGAAATGTCTGAAGAAAGATGTGAAAGGGGATTAATTTATGATACTCTGCTAAAAAATAGTGGAACTTCTTTGTTATTCACTTGTTAGAAAGTTAAGAAATAATACTATTTAATCCCTTCTTGCTATTCTCAATCCAAATATATAATAGCTCCTGTAAGAGAACTGAAATATGGTGAGCTTAATCTGGCCTTTTTTCCCCTTTGATTATGGCAGTGCCTAGAATGATCTGTTCTCTTACTTTGTGCCTTCTCTCTCATTCCACCCCCCAACCCCACCCTAGGACAATAGTCCCTTGGAAGAGCTTTCGCCAGGCTCTACATGAAGTACATCCGATCAGTTCTGGGCTGGAGGCCATGGCTCTGAAATCCACTATTGATCTGACCTGCAACGATTATATTTCAGTTTTTGAATTTGACATCTTTACGCGACTCTTTCAGGTAGGATACTAAAAACGAACTTCTGCTGATATTTGAAGAGGAAGATTTTATTAAAAAAAAAAGCATTTAGGATTTTGTCTATGACACAAGTATTTTAATCCATTTTAGAAATTATAAGTAAAAAAAGAATATGAAGAAATCTCTATATATTCATTTATTTAATCTAAAATGGAAAAACCATTTTTAAAAGTCTATATGACCTGCTTTTACCCTTCCTATCTTTCTTTGTTATTGAGTATCCTTCTTTTGTATCTTTTTTTCCCCTTTTTTTGACCTTCCTGGAGCTTGAACTCAAGTCCTGGGCACTGTCCCTTAGCTTCTTTGTGCTCAAGGCTAGCACTATACCACTTGAACCACAGTGCCACTTCCATCTTTTTCTTTTTTTTGGTCATGAGGCTTGAACTCTGGGCCTGGGTGCTGTCCCTGAGCTCTTTAGCTCAAGGCTAGCGCTCTGCTGCTAAAGCTGTAGCACCACTTCCAGTTTTCTGGTGGTTGATAGGAGATAAGAGTCTCACGGATTTTGCTGCCTGGGCTGGCTTTGAATGTGGATCCTCAGATCTCAGCCTCCTGAGTAGCTAAGATTACAGGCATGAGCCATGAGCACCTGGCTCACTTCCAGCTTTTTCTTAGTGGTTTTATTGGAGATAAGAGTCTCACAGACTTCTGCCTTGGGTTGGCTTGAATATGGTCCTCGGATCTCAGCCCTTTGAGTAGCTAAGATTACAGGTGTAAGCCACTGATGTGTGGCTCTTCTGCATCATTTTAATGGTTATACAATTACCATAAAATATATGCAATTTGTCCATTTTCTGTTATTGAATGTTGATGTATGTTTGTACTTTTTTCCTATTTTATTGAAGTGCTAGAGATTTCAAAATCTCATTTGGTTTGTCCTTTAGACATATTTTTTCCAATATATTTATGTTAATTTGCACAAACATTTATTTGGAACTTAATTGCACATGTAGGCCTTATTCTGTTTTTCTGGTTTTCATTTGTCATTGTTTTAATTTTTTAATTTTTTATTTTTTACAATATTCTTTTTTTATGATCAAATTTAGGTGTTTATTTGCATTCACATTTTTTTGAGGGGGGGCGGGATCTGGTCGTGGGGCCTGGGCGCTGTCCTTCAGCTCTTCAGCTCAAGGCTAGTGCTCTACCACTTGAGTCACAGCACCACTTCTGGCTTTTTTCTTTTTGCTTATGTGGTGCTGAGGAATCAAACCCAGGGCCTCATGCATGCAAGGCAAACGCTCTACCACTGAGCCACCTTCCCAGCCCTGTCATTGTTTTTAGACTTACTACTGTTGATTAGAGTTGTAGTCTGATTTATTGAATTTTAATGTAAAGTTTCTTCTTATAAAATACACATTTTTCTTGCCTGACCAGAATTTTTATATCTTAGCCATCATTTTCTTGCCTTGAAGTGACAATATAATTGATATTGTGATAATAAATTGAGAACTTAAAATTGAAAGTTGAAGCTTTTTTTTTTTTTTTTGCTATCCATTGCTCTGAGGCTGCTTGAATGTCTCGGGGCAAATGGTCTGTGGTTGATCTTTTGTTTCTTTAGCCCTGGTCCTCTTTGCTCAGAAATTGGAACAGCCTCGCTGTAACTCACCCTGGCTACATGGCTTTTCTAACATACGATGAAGTGAAAGCCCGGCTTCAGAAATTCATACACAAACCTGGCAGGTTAGTATCAGCAAGCAAAATGCTCAGTTTTTTTCTCTTGTGTCTTCTGCTAGAGTGTTTTTTTCCCCCCTCTTTTTTATTCCTTTCTTTCTGCTAGAGTTGTATTTGTTTTCTAGTGGCCAAGATTTTGTAGTTTAGTTCTAGTATATTTTTGTTAGTATAGTTGATGTCTCTATCAGAAACATTGCTCACTGAAATCCTGAGATTTGATAAGTACTTTAAATTTTAGTCACTATAAAATAGAGCTTATAACTGGGTTTACATATTGGCTCACACCATGGGTTTACATATTGGCTCACACCAGTGGCTCACACCTATAATCTTAGATATTCAAGAGCCTAAGACTTGGAGGATTTTAATTTGAAGCCAGCTGGGGCAGAAAAATCCACAGGACTCTTTTTCTCCAGTTAATCAGCAAAACTAGTAGCATGGCTCAAGTGATAGTACAATAGCCAGACAAGGAAGCTGAGAAGTGGAGTCCGAGCACAAAAAACAATCAAAATGAAGTTTATGAACTAGGAATGTGTCTTAGTGGCAGAGTGCTTACCTAGCATGCATGAAGCCTCAGGTTTGGTTCCTCAGTACCACAGAAACAGAAAAAGCAGGAAATGGTGCCGTGATTCAAGTGATAGACTGCTAGTCTTGAACAAAAGAAGCTCAAGGACAGTGCCCACACTCTGAATTCAAGCCCCAGGACTGGCAAAAAATAAATATAAAAAGGTTTATGCTGGATGCAGCATTACATGCCTGTATAGTCCGAGCACTAGGGAGGCTGAGGCAAGAGGATATTTAAGATTAATGGGATGCTATCTTGGAAGAAAGAAAAGCTGGGCGCTGATGGCTCCTGCCTGTAATCTAGCTACTCAGGAAGCTGAGATGGGAGGATCACAGTTGAAAGCCAGCCTAGGCAGGAAAGCCTGTGAGACTCTTTTCTCTAATTAACCACCAGAAAACCAGAAGTGACACTGTGGATCAAAGTGGTAAAGTGCTGCTAGCTTAAGCAAAACAGCTCAGGGACAGTGCCCATGCCCAGAGTTCAAGGCCCAGGACAGAAAGGGGGGGGGGGGGCGGAGGGAGAGATCCTTTGCTTCTGTTCTAGAGTCATTGGGGATGTTATCTGTCTGAGTGAATGAGGGATTGAGCCAGGCTGTAGTGCATTGAACACTTACAATCTCCCCCTAAACTCTTATCTCTCATCTTCAGCCTGTTGAAAATGTGACTCTTCTTTTTTTGTCTGTTGTGGGGCTTGAACTCAGGGCCTGGGCACTATCCCTGGGAGCTCTTTTGCCCAAAACTTTGAGCCACAGGTTTTTGAGAGGCTATTGGTGATAAGAGTCTGATGGGGACTTTTCTGCCCAGACTGGCTTTGAACCGTGATCCTCAGATCTCAGTCTCCTGAGTAGCTAGGATTACAGGTGTGAGTCTCCAGTGCCTGGCAAGAAGTGACTCTTGATGGTTCTGTCAGTTTTTTGTCATTCTCACCTAATACCAACACATATTTTAAAACTTTTCTTAATCTCTGTTCTCAGTTACATCTTCCGGCTGAGCTGTACTCGTCTGGGTCAGTGGGCTATTGGATATGTCACTGCTGATGGGAACATTCTCCAGACAATTCCTCATAACAAACCTCTCTTCCAAGCACTGATTGATGGCTTCAGGGAAGGCTTGTGAGTACCACTGCTTATCATCTTCTGCAAGAGTCTGGGGATTTAGAGACTCTAGCCACTTCATCATTATTCTACTTCTTATTCAGATTAAGATTCATTTTATTTTTTTGTCAGTCATGGGGCTTGAACTCTGGGCTTAGGCACTGTCCCTCAGCTCTTCAGCTCAAGGCGAGCGCTCTACCACTTGAGCACTCTACCACTTGAGCTACCATGCCACTTCGGGTTTTCTGAATGTTTATTGGAGATAAGAGTTTCATGGACTTTCCTGCCCAGGCTGGCTTTAAACCTCGATCCTCAGATCTCAGCCTCCTGAGTAGCTAGGATTACAGGCGTGAGCCGCTGGTGCCCAGCATCAGCTTTATTTTATAGAGATTCGGTAAGTGAATTTTCTCTGTTGCTTTAGTTACTGCCATGAGTACATTTTATCTTTCTCCTTTTCCAAATTATTAACTTCCTTTCAAGTTTGTATGAGGTTTGAAAATGTATAGTTACCAGGAAATATTACCAGGTATTAATCTGATAGTGCTTAGATGTTCTTAATGACAGCAGGTTTCAGTGGCCTTCATCTTAATTTCATTTAGGTTGAGTAGCTTTGCTGGGCTTTTGTCATAATATATGCAGATACTTTATTTCAGAATTGCTGTTCATGTGAGAATTCAAATTATCAGTCAGCAAGCAATGAAAATATGGAGTGAAGCCAGGTGCTGGTGGCTCACGCCTGTAATCCTAGCTACTCAGGAGGCTGAGATCTGAGGATCAAGGTTCAGAGCCAAACGGGGCAGGAAAGTCCATGAGACTCTTACCTCCAATAAACCTCTAGAGAACTGGAAGTGGTGCTGTGGCTCAAGTGGTAGAGCGCTCCCCTTTGAGCTGAAGAGCTGAGGGACTGTGCCCAAGTGCAGAGTTCAAGCCCCACGACAGAAAGGAAGGAAGGGAGGGAGGGAGGGAAAGAAAGAATAGAAAGAAAAGAAAGAAAATACGGGCTGATCAGAAAACTAGTTTGTGTTTTGAAATGATTAGGAAAATTATCTTTTGTTTTACATCCTCTTCGGTGGTTGGATGGTAGCTGAATGGGGTACTGCCTTAGCTGTCAGAGCAGTTAGATCTAGACACTCCTTGATTATTTAATGATTGTCTCAGTGGCTTCATTTGTTCTTGTCACAGTATCTTTAAGCTGGGAGCTGGAGGCTCATGTAATCCTAGCTACTTAGGAGACTGAGATCTGAAGTTTGCCTTGTGAAGCCAGCTCAGGCAGAAAAGTCCCTGTGAGATCCTCATCTCCAATTAACCACTCAAAAATCAGAAGTGGAGCTGTGGCTTAAAGTGGTAGAGCACTAGCCTTGAGCAAAAGAGCTCAGGGACAAGCACCCAAGCCTAGAGTTAAAGCCCCACAATAGATGAAAAAAACAAAACAACAAACTTGTGTTAGCAACAATATTTTAGGTCTTTGGTTATATGCAGACTGTGGGATGATGTAGAGCATGCCTACAATCCCAGCATTCTGAAGGCTGAAGTTGGAGAATCTTAAGTTCAGGTTCAGGGTTAGCTGGGAGCCACTACCTAGCAAGACCCTTTTTTTTTTGGATGGTCATGGGGCTTAAACTCTAGGCCTGGGCGCTGTTCCTGAGCTCTTCAGCTCAAGGCTGGTGCTCTACCACTTGAGCCACAGTGCCACTTCCAGCCTTTTCTGTTTATGTGGTGCTGAGGAATCAAACCCAGGGCAAGCACTCTACCGTTGAGCCACCATCCTAGTCCCTAGCAAGGCCCTTTCTTAACAAAACGAAACAACAAAAAAAAAATCCATACCACCAAATTAAGTTTAAATTAAGAATTTGTACTTTATGATCATCTGTTTCATCCATTGATTTAATTAGGGATTACACTGCATGTTGGTGGCTCAGCCTGTAATCCTAGCTACTCAAGAGGCTGAAATTTGAGGATCACAGTTCAGATCCAGTCCAGGCAGGAAACTCTGTGAGACTCTTTATCTCCAATTAACTACCAGGAAATTGAAGTGGTGCTGTGGCTCCAAGTGGTAGCGTGTTAGCCTTGAGTGAAATTTCAGGGACAGTGCACAGGCTCTGAGTTCAAGCCCTATGACTGACACCCCCCCAAAAAAAATTTTTTTAATTACAATAAATAAGGGGTTAGTAAACTATGGTCCATGGCCTTTCTGCAAGCCCAAGGTAGTTTCCCCAAGGTCGTTTTGCTTTGCTTTATATTTTTTAAATATGTTAGATATCATTTGTCTGTATTAGTAAGCATTTATAAATTGATGTTAAAAGAATTCCAAGGTTGGTTACTCTTTTTGTAGCTATTTGTTTCCTGATGGAAGAAATCAGAATCCTGACCTGACAGGCTTATGCGAACCAACTCCCCAAGATCATATCAAAGTGACACAGGTGAATTTTGTCTTACATTATGGCCATATCACCAGAGCCAAACTTTTGAGTATACTTACAGAATTGACTGTAGTCTCAGTGATTAGAACTCTGATTCTAAACCATTGCTTAGGTTAGTGAATTTCTTTGTGTGTGGGGATTTGTGGGGGGGGGAGACAATCATTTAAACTGTGTGACTTAAAATAAAGACAAGACTGGATACTTTCTCGTTTAATAAAGGTGCAGTGACCACAGCTATGATATTTTTACTTGAGTAAAATTTATGTAGAAAATAGTCTTTAATTTTCTTATTAGCATTTACAGTTTCTGTCATTGATTCATTCCTGTATTCAACAAACTATCTCTTTTTTTAAATCAAAGGAACAATATGAATTATACTGTGAGATGGGATCCACCTTCCAACTGTGTAAAATATGTGCTGAAAATGATAAGGATGTAAAAATTGAACCCTGTGGACACCTCATGTGCACATCCTGTCTTACATCCTGGCAGGTATGGGTCTAAACCATGTGTTTTCTCTGCTATATAATTTCACTGAAGAATTGGGTATTGTATATTCTTTGTAGATATAAAGGGTGGTCTGGTTTAAAATCTTATCTCCATCCCTACCTTCCTTATTTCTTCATTCCTGTCCTCTCTTTCTTTCTCTCCTCCTTCCTTTTCCTCCTTTTCTCTCATTCTTTTATTTTTTCCTTCCTTCTTTTCCTAGTCCCCCTTTCTTTCACTGAAGTTTGATCCCAAGATCTAGAACGTACTGAACACATACTCTCCCACTGAGCTTATATCTCTAGCTTGTTAATTCCATTTTTCTAAATATATTTTATTGTCATCTGTGTCCTCTACAGGAATCAGAAGGTCAGGGTTGTCCTTTCTGCCGATGTGAAATCAAAGGTACCGAGCCTATTGTGGTAGATCCGTTTGATCCTAGAGGAAGTGGCAGTCTACTGAGGCAAGGAGCAGAAGGAGCTCCCTCACCAAATTATGATGATGATGATGATGAACGAGCTGATGATTCTCTCTCCATGATGAAGGAATTGGCAGGTGCCAAGGTAAGACTAGATTTTGAATTCAGGGGCTAGCCACTGTCCCTTTTTATGTACAAGGCTAGTGCTCTACCATTTGAGTAACTGCACCACTTCCACTTCTGAGTATATTGGAGATAAGAATCTCACAGACTTTCTTTCCTGGGCTGGCTTGGAGCCTTGATCCTTAGATCTCAGCCTCCAGAATAAGCTAGGATTATAGGTGTGAGCCACCGGTGCCCAGTGACTGAAATGTTTTTAAGGGCTGGGAATGTAGCTCAGTAAAGTGGTTGACCAGGTTAGATGAAACTCTAGATCAGATCATCCACACTACAAAAAAAAAAAAAAAAATTAACATATCCATAGGGGGGAAAATTGAATGTCTACACCCAAAATTATTCACTGTATTTCCAAAGAGAAATTCAGAAGACTGATTTTGTGGAATACTCCTATTCGAATTTTTTTAGTTTCCTTTTTTTTTTTTTTTTTTTTGGTTGGTCGTGGGGCTTAAACTCTGGGCCTGGACTCTGTCCCTCAGCTCTTCAGCTCAAGGCTAGCGCTCTACCACTTGAGCCACAACCCCACTTCCAGCTTTTTCTGCCTATGTGGTGCTGAGGAATCGAACCCAAGGCCTCATGCATGCAAGGCAAGCACTCTACCACTGAGCCACCTTCCCAGCCCCCCCTTTAGCTTTCTTAAGTATTCAAATTTTTAATAAGATCTTGCAAGATGCTTATTGCCTAAATAAATGTTCAGTGTAGAATGTTATATGAGACCAAATGTCTTAGGCAAGTCTCAGGAGCTGTTATTTGGGAAGAGAATGTGGATACAGGTGAAACACTATTCAGCACAAGGGATATAGATTAAATGCTGTTTGAGATTGTTAGGTTTGTACTGTTTAAATGCTGTAGTCATTTAGATGAAGGAAATTAGCACTTCCTCTAGATGAGTAGAAATTCAAAGAGAATAAACCAACTTTCTCTCTTTCCCTTCTCCTTCTCTTTTCTTCCTCCCTACCCCTTTCTTTCTCTTTTTCTTTGTCAATCATGAGGCTTGAACTCAGGGCCTAAGCTTTTTCACTCAAGGCTAGTGCTCTACCACTTTGAGCCACAGCATCACTTCCAGGACTTCCTGCCCAAGCTGGCTTTGAACCTTGGATCCTCAGATCTCAGCCTCCTGAGTAGCTAGGATTACAGGTGTGAGCCACTGGCACCTGGCTAAAAACCATCTTTTATGAATACATAAATACCTAAGAGAGCCGGGCGCTGGTGGCTCACGCCTGTAATCCTAGCTACCCAGGAGTCTGAGATCTGAGGATCTCGGTTCAAAGCCAACCCGCAGGAAAGACCGTGAGACTCCTATCTCCAGTAAACCACTAGAAAAAAAAACCAGAAGTGGCGCTGTAGTTCAAGTGGTAGAGCACTCTCCTTGAGCTGAAGAGCTGAGGGACAGCGCCCAGGCCGAGTTCAAGCCCCATGACTGACAAAAGAAAAAAAAAATAAGAGAAGAACATGATTTGACCATCTCATAATTTATTTAGTTTCTTCTTGAGGGATACATGGTAGTCTAAACTTAGACATATTGATGTATTTTGCAGGGTACTCTGTTTTCAATTTTTGTTTTTGCTTGAACCCAGGGGCTTGAATACAGGACCTAGGTACTGTCTCTGAGCTTCTTTTACTCAAGGCTAGCAATCTACCATTTGAGCCACAGAGCCACTTCCTGCTTTTTCTGTGTATGTGGTACTGAGGAATTGAACCCAGGGCTTCAAGCATTCTAGGCAAACACTCTGCTCCTAAGCCACATTACCAGCCTTTTTTGATTTTTTGTTTGGGTCTTATCCTTAAGCATTTGTGCTCAAGGCTAGTGTTCTACTATTTGAACTACAGACCTACTTCCATCTTTTTTGGTAGTTAATTGATGATAAGAATCTCTGGAACTTCCCTGTATAGTCTGCCTTTGAACTAGGATCCTCAGATCTCAGTTGCTAGGATTGTGAGCGTGTACAGTTCTTGACAGTTTAAGCTTATTTTAGTCATTCCTTGCTTCTTATATATAGGCAAATGGAAAAGGTTGCATACTTATGTACTGGTTGTCTCTTATAAAATGCTTTGAACTACAGTCCTCAGATCTCAGCCTCCTGAGTAGCTAGGATTACAGGTGTGAGCCACCGGTACCCGGCTAGGATGTTTGTTTTTATTAAAATATATTAATTGTGTAGGGGAGAGCCAGGATGCTTTTCCTTTTTTTTGTTGGTCGTGGGGCTTGGGCACTGTCCCTTAGCTCTTCAGCTCAAGGCTAGCACTCTACCACTTGAGCCACAGCCTCACTTCTGGTTTTCTAGTGTTTTATTGGAGATAAAGAGTCTCAAAGACTTTCCTGCCCGCAGTGGCTTTGAACCTCAGATCCTCAGATCTCAGCCTCCTAAGTAGCTAGGATTACAGGCGTGAGGCACTGGTACCCAGCTGCCAGGATGCTTTTATAGCTTTCCCTTTAGATAGGCATTTGCCTGCAGCTTGCCATCTGTGATAGAGTGCCCTCTTATGGTAACACAAAAATAGTTCATGACTCTGGAAGTTTCTGAGAGCAGTTTGCATAACCCTGAGTGACACTGAACCTGAGTTTGGCCTGTCGCCAATTGTTCCATGCATCGCTGGCATGGTATTTGCTGTCTACAGCTTTAAAAAGAATTGAAAACGCCAGTTTTTCTAGCAAACAAGAGTACCTTGTTACATTTAATGGATTCTAGGTAGAAAGGCCTCCCTCTCCATTCTCCATGGCCCCACAAGCTTCCCTTCCTCCGGTGCCACCACGACTTGACCTTCTTCAACAGCGAGTATCTGTTCCTCCAAGCTCGTCTGCTCTGGGACCTTGTTCCAAGGTAAGGCAGTATGCATTTCTGTAGTTTTCTGATTATTTTTTGTTGTTGCTTGCTAGTGGCATTTGCTTGATTTCTTCCATTTTGCTTTCATAGGCTGCTTCTGGCTCCCTTCATAAGGACAAACCGTTGCCAATACCTCCTACTCTTCGAGATCTTCCACCACCACCCCCTCCAGACCGGCCATATTCTGTTGGAGCAGAAGCCCGGCCTCAGAGACGCCCCCTACCCTGTACACCAGGCGATTGTCCATCTAGAGACAAACTGCCTCCTGTCCCCTCCAGCCGCCTTGGGGACTCTTGGCTGCCCCGGCCAATCCCCAAAGTACCAGTAGCTACTCCAAGCCCCAATGACCCCTGGTCTGCACGAGAACCAGCCAATCGGCACTCCCTTCCATTTACACTGTCCTCACAAGTGGAGCCCAGAGCAGAGGTGCCAAGGCTTGGAAGCACATTCAGTCTGGATAACTCCATGGTGAGTTCCAGTTTTAAAGGTGATTTAGCCTAGCCAGGTGCCGGTGGCTCACGCCTGTACTCCTAGCTAATCAGGATGCTGAGATCTGAGGATCGCAGTTCCAAGCCAGCTGGGGCAGGAAAGTCTGTGGGACTCTTATCTCCAATAAACCACTCAGAAAACTGGAGTGGTGCTGTGGCTCAAGTGGTAAAGTGCTAGCCTTGAGCCGAAGAGCTGAAGGACAGCGCACAGGCCCAGAGTTCAAGCCCCATGACTGGCCAAAAAAAAAAAAAGGTGATTTAGCTTACTAAGTATTTGTGCACAGAATTTTCTGGGTCAGAGGTTTTTTCTTTTTTTCTTTTTTTGGTCCGGTTGTGGGGCCTGAACTCTGGGCCTGGGCGCTGTGCCTCAGCTCAAAGCTCAAAGCTAGCGCTCTACCACTTAAGCCACACAGCCACTTTCGGCTTTTTTCTTTTTGCTTATGGGGTGCTGAGGAATCGAACCAAGGGCCTCAGGCACGCAAGGCAAGGGCTCTACCACTGAGCCACCTTCCCAGCCCCAGGTCAGAGGTTTTTCTAGGGAATATTTAAGGGGACAAAATAAGTCAAAATAAATTTTAGAGAAAGGAGATACCTTTTTCAAGCTACTGCAGTCATGAGGGCTTTGTAGAAAGCGGCATCTGAATCTGCTGAAATATTCTTTGGAAAATACAGAAAGAGGGGAGGTTTGGGTCTGGGTCTGGGTCTGGGTTTTGCTTTTCTTTTTTTTTTTTAAGTCCAGTCGTGGGGCCTGAACTCTGAGCATGGGCGCTGTCCCTCAGCTCTTCAGCTCAAGGCTAGCACGCTACCACTTGAGCCATAGCACCACTTCCGGTGGTGCTGAGGAATCGAACCCAGGGCCTTATGCATGCAAGGCAAGTGCTCTACCACTGAGCCACCTTCTCAGCCCCTTTGCTTTGCTCTTTTCTGCCAGAAAAACACACAGTTATTACATGTCTAAGGCATGGGTTGGGAGTATTAAAAGTCTGACATAGTTTTAATGTAGATCAGAGCTACAGTGACAAGATGCTGTGACTTTTGGGATGATAAGCAGAGCAAAAAGGACATGAACACCTTTAGTACTCCTCCAGAGAGGTTGAGTTTATTCAGTAGAAAATGAGCAGCATGCTGGGCACAGGTGGCTCATGCCTGTAATCCTAGCTACTGAGGAGGCTGAGATCTGAGGATCACGATTCAAAGCCAGCCTGGGCAGGAAAGTCCGTGAGACTCTTATCTCCAGTTAACCACCAGAAAACTGGAAGTGGTGCTGTGGCTCAAGTGGTAGAGTGCTCACCTTGAGCTGAAGAGCTGAGGGATAGTGCCCAGGCCCAGAGTTCAAGCCCCCTGACCGACAAAAAAAAAGAAAAGACAATGAGCAGCATTTGGAAGTTTTACATTAGTGGAATGATGTGGCCAAAATGAGGCATTAAAGAGATTAATCTGGTAGTATGCAGGTTTGGAAGGACAGTATATTGAAAAAATACAGGTTAATGGTCCTTTGTCTACACTTGTAGCAAGGGATCAGAATGGTTATAAGAAAGGAATATTATTTTGTTGGTTCATTTGAGTACTTAACAAAAATTTTGCTTCTCACACTATATTCTGATGGAAGAAGATAGAAAATAAACAAGGAGAGTAAATATATTTGTTCATAGTGGTAAGTACAATGGAGTAAAACAGCTTAAAGAAGGGTATAGGGAGAGCGGGAGTTGAGGCAGGCAGTTCTGAAAGGGATGCAATACAAATCTGAGCCAAGATCCTAAGCAGCTATGGATTGAGTGAGCTGTGTGAACAGTGGAAGAAGACCATTCCAAAATAAAGGGAAAGAAGTGAATTTGGGAGAGGTTGGGTTGAAAAATTATAGAGGGATATAGTGCCAAGTAAGCAAGGGGGAGATTTGTTTCTCTGAGTAGAAATGGACAACTAGATTAGGTGGAGCCAGATAAGGCTCACAAACAGAAGATGAAAAAGATGAGAACAGATCTCATCATACCCACACACACTAATTTTGTAAACCTCACTTACTAGAGACATGTTGGATTTGAGATGGAAGAACTGACAGGTACTAAAGAGGAGAAGAAATCTAAGGAGGTTGAATGGGAAAGATTTAGTTGAGGAATATGATGGCACTCAGCTAAATATTTCTTGGTTGCACACTTAAGTGGCATCTGTAAGTATGGAATTAGTAAAGGAGGTACTTAGCTGTGGCTTTATTAAAGAGGTTCTTTCAACACTTTCCATTCCAGAATATGAATAGTGGCCCATTAGCTGGCCCAGAATGTGAGCATCCCAAAATCAAACCATCTTCTTCTGCTAATGCTATTTATTCTCTGGCAGCTAGGTAAGTAAACTAAAACTGTATTTTATTCAGTGGAATTGGTACTTTTTGGGGTGGTGGGTGTGAGGGGTAAGATAAGATCTCACTGAATAGTCCAGGCTGACTTCAAACTTGTGATCATCCTACCTCAGCCTTCCCTGAGTGCTGTGCTTTAAGCACACACCACCGCACCCAGATTAGTACTTCCAAGTCTGTTGATTTAGAGAACCCAAGAAAGTGTAGAGGAAAACAAAAACTTGTGTTTGTACTATGTAGAAATAATTATTTTATATATGTAGAAATAATTATTTATATCTTAGAGTATTTCCTTACATTCTCTATTGTTTTCTATTGAACATATAAATTGTAATTAAAGGCTATATCTGATAATACTACCTTTGTCTCTTCAACTTGGCAAGACAACCACAATATCTGTTGAGCACCTCTGTTGCTTGCTGCTGCCACATGCTTACTTTTCTTAGAATCTAGGCTCAAGCATAACAATTTACAGTTTAACAATAGCTCTAGGGAATTATAGAATTTAGGCCTACTTTTCTAGGATTTTTAGCCCCCCCCCCCCCCAACATATTGGTGGGCTAAAAATCCTAGAGAAGTAGGTCTAAATTCCAGTTTCTCTCCTTGATTCATGGAGAATTATTTCAAATGCCAAGTTCAAAACTTCTTTTTTGGGGGGGGTGGGGGGGGCCTGAACTCTGGGCCTGGGCGCTGTCCCTCAGCTCTTCAACTCAAGGCTAGCACTCTACCACTTGAGCCACAGCACCACTTCCAGCTTTTTTTCTTTTTGCTTATGTGGTGCTGAGGAATCGAACCCAGGGCCTCATGCATGCAAGGCAAGCGCTCTACCACTGAGCCACCTTCAAAACTTCTAAGAGAGGGCTTACTTTAGTATATTCTTTTTTGGATTTAGGCTTTCAAGTCCTGCCTGTCTGGTTGCTTTCTATCTCTTACATAGTATATATTGCCAGAAGAGAGAGAGAGAGAGAGTGTGTGTGTGTGTGTGTGTACGCGCGCGCGTGTGTGCGCGCACGCCCGCGCTTAAAGTCCAGACCTTAGGCTGGGAAGGTGGCTCAGTGGTAGAGTGCTTGCCTTGCATGCATGAGGCCCTGGGTTTAATTCCTCAGCACCACATAAGCAAAAAGAAAAAAGCTGGAAGTGGTGCTGTGGCTCAAGTGGTAGAGCGCTAGCCTTGAGCTGAAGAGCTGAGGGACAGTGCTCAGGCCCAGAGTTCAGGTCCCATGACCGGACCCAAAAAAAATAAATAAATAAATAAAAATAAAGTCCAGACCTCAAGCTCTTTGTCAGCCTTTTTACTGACAGCTGATGCTCTGTCACTTGAATTGTATTTCTCCACTTGTTTTTTGTTTTTTGTTTTTTTTTTTGGGTGGGGGTGGTGGTTAATTGGGTGTAAGAATCTTGCCAAGTCAGGCACCAGTGGCTCATGCCTATTATCCTAGCTACTCAGGAGGCTGAGATCTGAGTGTCACAGTTCAAAGCCAGCCTGGGCAGGAAAGTTGTGAGACTCTTATCTCCGGTTAATCACCAGAAAAACCAGAAGTGGCCCTGTGGCTCAAGTAGTAGAGTGCACACCTTGAGCTGAAGAGCTCAGGGACAGCACCCAGGACCATAGTTCAAGCCTCATGACAGACAAAAAAAAAAAGCAACCTGCTTTTTTTTGTTTTATACCTTGTGAAAGAAGAAGTTGAGTGCTAGCACTAGAACTGGGATAGTATAATGAAGCTTACTGGAGGTTGGGACTAACTAGAACCAGGAACCCACCCATATATAACACACCTTAAGCACAATAGCCACACTTTTGGTCAGATGAAAGCAGAATTTGTGGTTGTATGCTTCTTCCTAAATCCTAATTTCTTATGTAGGTGACATACGCTTTTGTTCTCTCACTTTTTGAGTTATATCTGTTTTGAAGCTGCCTAATTTGTAACAGAGACCTTTCCCAACTAAATCCTTTTTCTCTTATACTTCATTTTCTAGACCTCTTCCAGTGCCAAAACTGCCATCTGGGGAGCAGGGCGAGGGTGAAGAGGACACTGAGTATATGACTCCCTCCTCCAGACCTCTAGGGCTTCAAAAGCCAGAGCTGAAACGGCCTTTGGAGACAGCCCAGTGTGCACGGTACACAACAACCCTGTTTAGGGGCAAATACCTTTATATGGGTTATTCATATGCCATTCCTCACCTGCTTGGCTTGCTACTTGCAGTACTGTTATTAGTTACAATTAAAGTCTAAATATCAGTCTAATCCGTAATATTTAAGGCTCTGATAGCTGCAAGCAGTTGCTCTCCATGTTTTCTTGGCATTGCTGTGACTTTCTGAATGTGCTTATGTTTAACATCAATCATAAAACATTTATAAGTGATAATGCCATAAGAAAATGTATTGTGTTAAGAAAATCAGGGTTGGGCTGGGAATATGGCTCAGTGGTAGAGTGCTTGCCTAGCCTGCATGAAGCCCTGGGTTCAATTCCTCAGTACCACATACACAGAAAAAAAAGAGAAGTGGCACTGTGGCTCAAGTGCTAGCCTTGAGCATAGAGCTCAGGGACAGAGCCCAGGCTTTGAGTTCAAGCCTAAGACTGGCCCCCCTAAAAAAAACAGAGGGAGAGAGAGAAAATCAGGGTCTTAGGGTAGTCATGAACAGAAGTCTTATGAGTTTGCAGGTAACTGTGTTTTCAAAGATCATTGTGTTTATTTTCCTTCTGGTTCAGAGCGTGTGATTGTGACCAACAGACTGATAGCTGTACTTACGAAGCTATGTATAATATTCAGTCTCAGGCGCCATCTGTCACCGAGAACACCTTTGGTGAGTAGCCTCTCTGCTGTTAAAAATGGACATGCCAGGTGTAATGGTGAGTGCTTTTCATCCCAGCATATGGGATACTAAGGTAGAAGGAGAGTGAATTTGAGTCTAACCTGGACTACATTGCAACTTTGAGCCTGGTATGATCTACATAGAAAGACCCTCTCTCAAAAAAGGAAAGAGAAAGCTGGACACTGAGGTTCATGCTTGTAATCCTAGGTTCTCAGCAGGAGGCTGATAGCTAAAGATTGAAGTTTGTTTTTTTTGTTTGTTTGTTTTTTGTTTTTTTTTAGTCTGGTCGTGGGCCTGAACTCTGGGCCTGGGCACTGATCCTCAGCTCTTCAGCTCAAGGCTAGCGCTTTACCACTTGAGCCACAGCGCCACTTCCGGCTTTTTTCTTTTTGCTTATGTGGTGCTGAGGAATCGAACCCAGGGCCTCATGCATGCAAGGCAAGCGCTCTACCACTGAGCTACCTTCCCAGCCCTAAAGATTGAAGTTTGAAGCCAACCCAGGCAGGAAAAATCTGTGAGACTTTTAACCTCCAATTCATCGCCAGAAAACCCAGAGTGGAGCTATAGTTCCAATGGTTATAGTACTAACCTTAAGCACAAAAACTCATGGACAGCACTCAGTTCAAGTCCCAGGATCACCACAAAGAAAACAAAAAGAAGGCTTTGGAAGAATGACTCAATAAAATCATCTGCCTAGCAAATGTGAACCCTGGAGTTCAAACCCTAGTACCACCAAAGTGTGGGGGAAGGTAGTAAAGGAAGAAAAGAAATCATTGACATACCATAGGAATTAGCTTGTAAATTTGTCTGAGAGAGCTTGACTTAAGGAGAAAATTATTTTTAGTACTCTTTGGCAACATCTTTGATTCATAGATACACAGCTAGTTCCTTTTGTGCTTTCCCATCTTTCCAGGACCTAGAGACACTCTGTTATATGGCCTAGACCTAAAATGCTGGCAGCTCCCTTTTATTCCCATTGCATTGATGAAATTCTTTTGTATGTGGGTGGTAAACACTCAATTCCCATGTTAACTAGCTCACTGAGTTGAAAGTTCAAGAAGTCTTCACACAGACGGGCACTGGTGGTTCACGCCTGTAATCCTAGCTACTCAGGAGGCTTGAGCTTCAAAGTCAGCCAGGGCAAGGAAAGTCCATGAGATTCTTTTTTGTTGTGGGACCTGAATTCTGGGCCTGGGCGCTGTCCCTCAGCTCTTCAGCTCAAGGCTAGCACTCTACCACTTGAGCCACAGCACCACTTCCAGCTTTTTTCTTTTTGCTTATGTGGTACTGAGGAATTGAACCCAGGGCCTCATGCATGCAAGGCAAGCACTCTACCACTGAGCCACCTTCCCAGCCTCCCCTTCCGTCCCCCCCCTGCCCCCCCCCCCAGACTTTTATCTCCAATAAACCACTAGAAAACCGGAAGTGGCACTGTGGCTCAAGCGGTAGAAGAGCTGAGGGACAGCGCCCAAGCCCAGAGTTCAGGCCCCATGATCGACCAAAGAAGTCTTCACACACAGGAGGACCCTTGGCTGATCCAAGATGAAATGCAAATAGGAATGCTTAAAAAGAAATGGTGTTGAGTGTTTGGTATCAGTGGCTATTAACCTTAGCAAAGTAATCTCTGACATGCTCAACAGTACAGCTGCAGGATTGGTGTAGATTATTTCTATCCACATAGCCGCACAGACATTGAGAAACTGTCAAATAAAATGAATGATAGGGGCTGGGAAGGTGGGTCAGTGGTAGAGTACGTGCCTCACATGCATGAGGCCCTGGGTTTGATTCCTCAGTACCACATAAGCAGAAAAACCTGGAAGTGGCGCTGTGGCTCAAGTGGTAGAACGCTAGCCTTGAGCTGAAGAGCTGAGGGACAGCACCCAGGCCCAGAATTCAGGCCCTGTCACGACCACCTCGACCAGCAAGGAAGACGCGACACCGAGCTCTTCTCTCTGCAGTTTATTCAGGACCTTTGAGTAATATTCTGACCCCAACCCCGGGGAGAATTCCCCACAGCCTTAAGTACCTGCTGGGTAGCCAACCCTGATACACCACGTGGGATCCACCAATAGGCTCAGGTGCGCGGAAGCAAGCCAGATTCTTTGCCTTAGCCATATAAGGAGTTGTTTACCACAGAGCCGGCGCCATCTTCCAGGTGCGGCCTCTCGCAGCTCCCTACAAGGCCCCACAACCGATAAAAATAAATTAATGATAGTATATGTATGCATGCTTCAATGAATGGTGCCCTAGGTTGAAATGTGCTAGGGGTAGGAGAAGAAGATAACTTTGCCAACTTTTTTTCCAGGTGAAGGGAATTTGGCTGCAGCCCACACCAACACTGGCCCTGAAGAGCCAGAAAATGAGGATGATGGGTATGATGTCCCGAAGCCCCCTGTGCCCGCTGTGCTGGCCCGCCGAACGCTCTCAGACATCTCTAATGCCAGCTCCTCCTTCGGCTGGTTATCTCTGGATGGTGATCCCACTACAAGTGAGTCTCCAAGCTGCTTTTTGTCCAGTGCTGTTGTCCGGTTCCTGGTTTATTAGTTGGAACACATAGCCAGCTGCAGTGGCAGTCAGTAGGAGGAAGCAGTAGACGAAATGCTAGATTGTGTATCTAAATAGATAGAAAGCAGTCCAAGGTCCCAATTTTTTTTTTTTGTCAGTTGTGGGGCTTGAACTCTGGGCCTGGGCATTATCCCTCAGCTCTTCAGCTCAATGAGAGCGCTCTACCACTTGAGCTACAACACCACTTCCAGTTTTCTAGTGGTTTATTGGAGATAGGAATCTCACAGTCTTTCCTGCCCAGGCTGGCTTTGAACCGTGATCCTCAGATCTCAGCCTTCTGAGTAGCTAGGATTACAGGCGTGAGCCACCGGTGCCCGGCTAAAGGTCCCAAATTTAAAAACCAGACTATAATCAAATTCTTGAGGTTTTGCCAAACTTAGAAATAAAATGGTCTTTGAACCATGGATCCTCTTATGTGGAGGAAAGGTAGAGTTTCTAGCTCTTTCAGATTGCCTTGTGACAGTAAGAATTAAGTTTGATGGTTCAGAATCATGTTCTTTTTTTCTGGGCCTCATCCCACTGGAAAGGAAGTGCACTGTCCTGGAATGTGCATAGAATGAATGGGCCTGGAGCCATCCCACATTGGGCCTTGACTTTGGGGGCTGTTCTTCCTGCACCTATCACCTGCCTGCCTGGTAGAACAGCAACCAGAGTTGCTGTCACTTTGGAAATTGAAGACAACTTTTAGGACAGCTGGTAGAAAGGATGTACAGCATCTAGTTTCTCAGACAGGCAGTGATCCCCACCAACCTGAATTAATCCTTCTTCAGTTCAGCTTAGGTTTATTTTTGTCTCCTTATTTGGCAGTTCTGGGGTTTGAAGTCAGGCTTACTAAGCAGACACTCTACCACTTGAGCCACTCCACTGGCTTGTCTCCTTATTTGTAGAAGGAGGAGTATATTACCTTCCCTTGTCCACTCAGAATTGTGTGTGTGTGTGTGTGTGTTACTCATGGGGCTTGAACTCTGGGCCTGAGCGCTGTCCTATAGCTCTTTAGCTCAAGGCTAGTGCTCTACCACTGGAGCCACAGCACCAATTCCAGTTTTCTGAATGGTTTATTGGAGATAACAGTCTCACACACTTTCATACCTGGGCTGGCTTTGAACCATGATCCTCAGATCTCAGCCTCCTGAGTAGCTAGGATTACAGGCATGAGCCACCAGCACCAGCCCCTGAGCTTCTTTTGCCTAAGGCTAGCACTCTACCTCTTGAGCCACAGCACTACTTCTTGCTTTTTCTGTTTATGTGGTTGTGGTACTGAGGAATCGAACCCAGTGCTTCATGCATGCTAGGCAAGCACTCTACCACTAAGCCACATTCCCAGTCCTACTCAGAATTTCAAAAGAAATCCAAATGATTATTTGTGTGAAAACTTGTTGCTAAGTGAAAAGCATAACATGGCTGCTTATCATAGTAACAGTTAGTTGTTAATGAAACGGGTGTATGGTATATTTAGAAGGTGGTTTCTAAATAAGGAAATTAGATCCCCAAACTTTTGAACCTCTAAAACCTACCTTTCAAGCTGGTAATTTAGGTCAGTTGTAGAGGCTCTGGGTTCCATCCTAGCGCAGCAAGTAAATAAAGTTAAGTTTCTTAAGCCTTTTGTGATGTAGGAGCACAAGCCCACAACGGACAGAAATTCAATAATAGCTTGATGTTAGCACACTGTTCTTATTACTGTTACTTCCATTAAATGAGCATTTTTCCCAGACTTGCAATTTTTCCCCCCTGTTTTTCCTAGACTTCTCTGAGGGTTCCCAAGTTCCTGAGAGGCCCCCCAAACCATTCCCTCGGCGAATCAACTCTGAACGAAAAGCAAGCAGCTGTCAACAAGGCGGTGGTGCCACTGCTGCCCCTGGCACTGCCCCCTCACCACAGCTCTCCAGTGAGATTGAGAGCCTCATGAGTCAGGGCTACTCCTACCAGGACATTCAGAAAGCTTTGGTCATTGCCCACAACAACATTGAAATGGCCAAAAACATCCTCCGGGAATTTGTTTCTATTTCATCTCCTGCTCATATAGCCACCTAGCACATCTCTTCCTGCCTTGGCTTCAGCGGACCCATAAGCCAGGCTCAAGGAGCACCAAGGAGGGCAGAGGTTTCTTTGGGGACTTAAGTGAGGTCCTGCCCTCTCTACAGGGATCATGAGGTGCCCATGGTTCCAAGATTTCAAAGCAGTGGAGTGAAAATGGAGCAGCTAGTCTTCTCTTGTATCGGTCTTGAGTGTATTTGCAGGTGCCCTTCAGTTCCCACTTGGAGAGAGAATGGAGTGGATTTTTATTACATGGTAGCCTACCTGGGGAGCTGGCCCACAAGCAGCAGAACAAGCGTTGTTTTGTAAACCCTAATTGAGAACTTGAGGCTCTTCTGGGTTAGAGATGTGACGGTGTGTATGTGTATGCGTATGTGTGTGTCTATGTCTGTGATTGTATGTGTCCTGTAATTATAAGATGATCCTGCTGTGTGTGCTAATCCCAGATGGGGAATAGCACAAAAGGTTCAGGAAGGAATCTTTAAAAGACTTCCATCTACTGTGGTATTGCACCTCATCTAGTGTGTATTACAGCTTCAACACTCCCCTTTGGCTTAGACTATTATGTGCATAGCTGAAGTCTTTTATGTTGAGAACACCTTCTTTTTCTGTTCTTTCCCTTATGAATTTCTTCCTCCTCCTGGGCGTTCTGTCATTGGCAGTGGGCTTGCTGTCTTGCTGTGACCAGTCTTACTAAAGTCAAGCAGCTTCTAAGATACTCTTTATGCTGTGTGATATTGTTAGTTTGTTGTAAAGCTAGGTGGAAGGGAAAGTGCTGTTGCTCTGTGGTTAGTCATGGTTGGTGCTAGCTAGCAGCTTACACTGTGGTTAGTCATGGTTGGTGCTAGCTAGCAGCTAACACTGTGGTTAGTCATGGTTGGTGCTAGCTAGCAGCTAACACTGTGGTTAGTCATGGTTGGTGCTAGCTAGCAGCTAACACTGGTCATTCCAAAGTACAGTTATATAGGAATACTGAATTTGTTAAAAAATAAGATGTTTGAATTATCCTAATACATAATGACCAATTTGAGATAGAGGCCTTCAAATACATTCCGTGTCCTCCCCAGGGTGTTGTCTGGGGACATTGTTGCCTTGGTGTCAGGTATGTGTTTTGGTGCAGGTCATGAGTCTTTCTATTTAATGGGAAGGGAAGAACATTAATTCCAGGGTGACTTTTGGCCGAGTACCTTGAAGCTTTTAGGAAGTTTCATTCACATGCTATTTTGCTGCACAAAATAGACAATAAGGATTTATCTGTTGACTTTTTTTGGGGGGGGGGGTCTGGTCGTGGGGCCTGAACTCTGGGCCTGGGCGCTGTCCCTCAGCTCTTCAGCTCAAGGCTAGCATTATACCATTTGAGCCACAGCGCCACTTCCGGCTTTTTTTTTTTTTTCTGCTTATGTGGTGCTGAGGAATTGAACCCAGGGCCTCATGCATGCAAGGCAAGCGCTCTGCCACTGAGCCACCTTCCCAGCCCCTATCTGTTGACTTTTTATTCCCAGTAAATCAATTTCAGTTCATATGGTATCTTCTTTTTTTTTTTTTTTTCAGTTGTGGGGCTTGAACTCTGGGCTTGGGTGCTATCCTCAGCTCTTCAACTCAAGGCAAGTGCTCTACAGCTTGAGCCACAGTGCCACTTCCAGTTTTCTGGTGGTTTTATTGGAGATAAGAGTCTCGCAGACTTTCCAGGGTGGCTTTGAACCGCAATTCTCAGATCTCAGCCTCCTGAGTAGCTAGGATTACAGGCATGAGCCACCAGCGCCCGGCTTATATGGTATCTTTTGAACATGATCCAGGGTAGAGTTTCAGTAATGATTTTCCTTTGCCCATAAGGAATAGGGCACCACCCATGGTAATAATGTTTTGCTAATAATTGGCACCTTTCCTATACATCGGTGGTGTTCATGGATTTGGTTCTGTTGTGCCTAGGGCTTTGTCTGTTTCTTCCTTTCCTTAGGTCTTATATATAGTTACTATCTTCACAATAATTAGGTACTACTCATTGAAGTTAATCAAAGACAATAAGGAGAACTGTGGCAGTTAGTATAATTGGGAGTTCATAAAGAAGATTCAGAGTCCAGTTTGGAGACCCACTTGTCAATTCCTGTTGCAACTACTGAGTGGCCCATTGGGTTCAGCTAGGTCTCTGTTAGGATCTCCTGATTTCCCTAGCAACATGTACCCCTTTCCTTGTCAGAAGCGAGCTAGCTTTCCCATAAATCTGCCTTGCTCGGGACCTAAGAAATATTATTGTCTTTGGTTTCAGACAGAAATGATGTTCCTTAAGTTAGTTTTTTTCCCATTCAGACATCTCTAGAACTAAAAGCTTTTCTAATTCTTTCCCTTGGCATCTGGCTACTCCAGGATCTTTTATTTTATCCTCTTGCCTGAGCTATTTATACTCCCAGAGCAGATAATAGAGGCCCTCCTGTTGATGTTCCATGGTTACCCAGTGTCTCTTCTCATGGCTGGAAACAGCATAACAGTACAGCAGGTGCCAGAGGTCCTGTGTTTGGGGTAAAGGGAGCCTGAGAGAGTGGTTAGAGAAACAGTATTCTACTTCAACTTCAAGATGCTGGTAGCATTGAGTTTTTGTATTTTATTTAAACATTGAAGGCTGGCCTGGACAAAGAACTAGGGAAAAAATGGCCGCAGTTTCCAGGCCTATCCATATTGTAGTTTTTCTTTTTTTCTTTTTTTTGTCGGTCATGGGGCTTGAACTCTGGGCCTGGGTGCTGTCCCTCAGCTCTTCAGCTCAAGGTGAGCGCTCTACCACTTGAGCTACAGCGCCACTTCCGGTTTTCTGGTGGTTTATTGGAGATAGGAGTCTCACGGTCTCTCCTGCCCGGGCTGGCTTTGAACCATGATCCTCAGATCTCAGCCTCCTGAGTAGCTAGGATTACAGGCGTGAGCCACCAGCGCCCGGCATTGTAGTTTTTCTTTCTTGGCAAAAATTGCCTATCGTGTGAAGATCTATGGGCTGGGAAGGTGGCTCAGTGGTAGAGCGCTTGCCTTGCGTGCATGAGACCCTGAATTTGATTCCTAAGCACCACATAAGCAGAAAAAGCTGCAAGTGGTACTGTGGCTCAAGTGGTAAAGCACTAGCCTTGAGCTGAAGAGCTGAGGGACAGCGCCCAGGCCCAAATAAGATCTAAGAAAAAACACTGGGCTCATTTTTTTTTTTTTTTTTTTTGCCTTTTCAGTGTACCCAGGTCTTCTGTGGAGACGTGTTCATACCATCTAGACTCGGGCATCTCATCCTTTCCTTTCCTGAGCTCCCATATAACAGCTTGAGTTAGTTCTGCTTTGGTGTTTAGTTTGTCAGGTGTGGGTCACAGGCATTCGAACTTTGTCCATTATGTGAGGACCTTTCCTGGGACAGTGCCCGCCTGTGTCCTGACACTGCCAGGAACCTTTGGAAAGGTTTTGTGCAGCTCTCATCTTGAGGATAGTCCCAGAACTTGGGTATCTTCTGTTTTCTTTTGAGGCATCATTAATTCATTCTTCATCTTCCATTTGTATAGCAATATTTAAGGCTCTTCTGTGTTTTAAAATTGCCCTTTCATGACCAGGCTTTACTTTTGAGTTTTCACATTTTGACAAGCCCTTCCTTATTCCTTCTCCTAAATACAAATAGTTGGTATAGTCAAGAAAACCACTTTAACATCTTCCTTTTTTCTCTTACTTCATTAGGCTATTCTATTTTCCTACTTTTATCATATCTGCCTGCCTCATTGATAGGTCACTGTCCTGCAGCTCCCAGGACTGGACTTGCATTGTTGTTGTTGGTGGTGGTGGTGGTGGGTGTTGGTGGTCATGGAGCTTGATCTCAGGGCCTGAGGGCTGTCCCTGAGCTCTTTTGCTCAAGGCTGGTACTCTCATTTTGAGCTATAGCACCACTTCTGGTTTTTTGGTGGTTAATTGGAGATAAGAGTCTTAAAGACTTTGCTGCCCAGGCTGGCCTCGAACCACAATCCTTAGATCCTTAGATCTCAACCTCCTGAATAGGATTACAAATCACCAGCACCCAGCTTTTTTTTGTTTTTTTTGGTCAGTCATAGGTCTTGAACTCTGGCCTGGGCACTGTCCCTGAGCCCGAGCTTTCTTTTTTTTTTTTTTTTTTTTCAAATCTTTTTTTGGTGCTGGTACTAGAACTTGAACTCACAGCCTAGCACTCTTGCATTTTCTGCTCGTGGCTGACCATGGGGGGAAAAAGTCTGCTTATCCCATTTACTTTCTGCCAAAGTTTTTTTTTTTTTTTAAAGGTTCTTAAAGTGGTAACAAGTAAATAAATCACCTTGTGGTCTCTATAATATATACCTCCTTTTAAATTAACTAATAGATTAGGCCGCTTATCATCTCAGCCTTTGTCTGTTACTATTTAAACAGTGATTTCTGCCTGTAGCTGGCCATTCTCTACTCACCAGCCCTCTTCTTCCCTAAGCCCACCCTGCATGCTCTGCCATTCTTCTGTTCTTCTGCCATGCTTCTCTTCTCACCAAACTTATCACCAGGAGCTCTGATGTATAATATAGTACTGTTAGTAGCATTCATTTGCTAGTAGTTTTTGAAAAATGAGGAGGTCACTATTCTTCATACTTAAAATACTTATTTCCTCTCTAGGAAAATAAAATGTTTTATGGTCCAAACTAGGTTTTGTATCACACGTTGGTTGCACGCTAGGAATTAGCTTGACTATTCTCTTAAGCTACCATTAATGTCTTCTGTAGGCCATCAGCAGTGGTATTACTGCAGAATATTCTCCTACCTCACATAATAAAAGTCAGGTGGTAATTACCTTCAAATTAACTTGGTATTGGCCTTTTTTTTTTATGTCCTGGGGCTTGAACTCAGGGCCTGAGTCCTGTCCCTGAGCTTTTTTGTTCAAGAGTAGTGCTCCACTACTTGAGCCACAGCTCCATTTGGGCTTTTTTTTTTTTTTTTTTTTTTTCCTCCAATACTTTATTGGAAATAAGAGTCTCATAGACTTTCCTGCCCAAGCTGGCTTCAAACTGTGATCCTCTGATCTCAGCCAACTGAGTACCAAGGATTGTAGATGTGAGCCACTGGCGCTTAGCCTCTCTAACTCTGCAAAGACCACTATTCACCTGAACAACAGTATTTGGACCATTGGCCTAACTACAGCAGTTAGATTGTTCATTCAGCAAATAAGTGTTTGATTAGTGTCTGCTAGTACCATTAACAACTGATAATGGATTGTGTCTGAGTTATCTAACACTTAGATTGGCCCCTAAAATAGCTCTTTCCAATACAGTTGTGCAATTTTTATTCACAACTCTTTTATGTAGACTTACCTTATAAAGTTATCCTGACTAAAAATAGGTTCCAGGTTTTCCTATTAACCCTATTGTCATATTACAGCTTTGATAATATTTTTGTTACATGTGTCAGTGGCATCTGCTTGGCGTTGGACATTAGGGCATTAAATGCTTAAGCAGAGCCTTTACCTGTGGTCCCCTTTCCAATCTAGTGCCTTCCTTTATCTTTTCACTGAGTTTTTGTGTCCCTACTTCTCCTTGTTGGGAATATTTCCTTTGCACCTTAGGGATCTGCCACCATATCTTGAAACTACTTGGCATTTGTTTTCCTATCCTAATTCTGTAATATGGCTAATTCTGTACTAGAAAAGCTGAAGGAGTTGGGGAGTGGGTACCTGATGATGTTAAGTCAGTTTGATTTTATAAGAGCTGGATTCTCAGTATTCTGCATGTCAGCCTGCTTCCCTCCCGGAGCTCACTGTCAATACATTACCATTACTCTCCTAGACCTTAAAGCTTCAAAATTCAATCTGATTTCTTCTTTCTTTCTTTCTTTTTTTGGTTGATCATGAGGTTTCAACTCTGGGCCTGAACACTGTCCCTAAGCGCTTCAGCTCAACGCCTAATGCTCTACCACTTGAGCCACAGCACCACTTCTGGTTTTCTGGTGGTTAATTGGAGTTAAGAGTCACACAGACTCCTGCTTGAGCTGGCTTTGAACTGCAGTCCTCAGATCGCAGCCTCCTGAGTAGCTAGGAGCCACTGGCACCCAGCTCAACCTCAAGTATTCAAACTGTTTAAAGCATTAACAGTATACTTTGATCTCAGTCTGTACACAGCAGTCCTTCTATAGGAATATACTTACTGCATGGACTGCTGATAAGAAAGGAGGGTATTGTCATAAGAAAGTTTGGGCTTTCGTTCCATAGGAAATTGAACTGGTTCTTACATGGTGCCAAACTGGGAAATTTTTTACCCTTGGTCCGCCCTCCTACTTCACAGTCTGTTTGTGTACAAGATCCCCAAATAGCACCCCAGTCCTCAAATCCACATAGCCATGGGGAGTCACCATGAGCAAATAAATGCCCAGTTTGTCTTTGTTCACATCTTAAATAGTATACAACCCATTGGTTAGCAATCCCCCACCAGTGAGACTTCCACAGAAAATAAGAAGCATATAGGCAGCATCAGAAAAATCATTCAGCTGCAAGTTGTGGGTTCTCCAGAGAAGCAGCTGTGGACTTGGTAGCTACCCTGGAAGGACATCAATAATACTAGTAGCAAAGCCATTACTGTCTTGCCTTTTTGAGAGGGGAAAGGTAGCCTTGGGAATATGTTTGACTCATCAGGAAAATCCTTAGGCTTAACAGTTCATTTCTTTCATCTGTGGCCTACTCTGTTCCTGACATTTTTTACTCGTTATTCAACTCAGGTCTTTGGCCTTTTCCAGTTTTTTAGGGATCATGGTTTTCACTGTGGCCACTCCTTAAGCTTCTTGTCTCTCTTCAGGTTTTCTTGCTAAAATCCATGTTCATCTGTGAGCCTGATCTGTGTCCTGCATTCCCTTCTCCCCTCTCATCTTTCTGTGTAGGAGGGAGCTCTGCGGTGATGCTTTTCAGCACCACAGAAATTAGCCTCGCTAGAGCCAGTGAGAAGAGAGGTAATAATAGTCGGGACATTCACCATTCCCGTGTGACTGGAGCTCTTGCAGTGAGCACTTTAGAAAGAATATTTAGATCTCCCTTGTTCACCTGCTGCCCTTTCTTGGCCCTATATCATGGAAGTGTTTGTTTTTCTGACTTTGTTTTATTTTGGCTTGGCTTTTTTTTTTTTTTTAAACTACTGCTTGCCTGGATCTTTGGATCTTATTTATCACATCCTAGAGCCTGTCCTGAGTTGTGGGCATTTTATACCGCCTTGCTTATACCTTTTTTAAACTACTAGAGTCATTTGGTATACACAGAAGTAACTTACAATAATCCAAAGATACACATTGAGGCACATAGAAGGGCAGGTCATCAGACTTCGGTAGTCTAGTGTAAGCTCCTGAGTTCAAGGAGCAGAGGGACAGTAGTGCCATGTGCCTTCACAGTGTCCCAGGGAATCTGGGTTGGTTCCAAAGGGAAGTACTAATATTTCTTGGTTCCAGAAAGTAGCACAAACAGTGAGACAAGGGGAAATAGGGACAGGAAGAGCAAGCTCCGCACCTTCAGCGCCAGATGGAAGGCCAGCCCTGACTAACAGCTGTTTGGAGATATTGCAGCCTCTTTCCTGGTATAATGCTTGAGAAACATGTAGCTGACCACTCCCTGTATTTGTCCAGAGCCAATGTGGAAAGCCAACCTCAGATTCCCTACCGATCTGGCAGTAGAACAAATCAGCGGAGTTCTCACTACCGGTTCCTGTATTACTGATTCACTCCTACCACTGCACTTGAGACGGGCTTCTACATTGCCTGGAATGTTTTCCTTCTTCCCTGAACCAATGAGAGGCCAGAGAATAGAGTTGTTCAGTGTGCTACACACACAGCTCCTTGGCCTTACACAGCCTCCCGCACAGGCCGAGGTGGGTGGGCGGGGGTGCGAGTGCCGGTGTGTTTCCCTTCTCCCTCTCCCTCTGGCCCTGTGGTGCTGAGGGTGGCGGTGCAGTGGCTGTCTTGAAAGTAAAGAGACGGCCAGTCTACCAAGGAGTCTGCCCCGCACCTCACCCACAGCCCCTCCTGCTGTCCAGCGGGCCAGCTGCCTCCTGACCTCCCCTTCTCACTGCTCATGAGGTCTTGGTATGACTTCTGCTGAAATGTGGGTGACATGGTGGCTGGGAGGTGCCTCCTACATCTGCTTTCTGGCTGTGGTGACTTGAGATTTTTAACCTTATATATCTTTTTCCTTTATTCAAAACAAAACAATTTTTAGCACACTGAAAAAAAAAAAAGAAACCAAATGTTTTGTGCCTTTCTAAGGCAGCACTGTATCCCAGGCTGCATTTTAGGACTTAATATGGAAATACCAGAGTCTGAGCTCCTCTACCTTGAGTCTCCTTAGCCCTAGTGTCACGGGGACAGCAAGGAGTCCCTCTGTGGTTGGAGAGGTGGCACACAGGGACGGTATGTCTGTGGTGCCCTTTCCTGGCCATTAGGCTTTATTGGCAAAGAACAGCATTGTACCCTGGGGTCATTTGACTGGTTCCAATTAGCTTAGTTAGCAGGCTGGAAGCTTTGTCTCTTCCAGGAGAATATTCTACAACCTTTAGGTATGGACCCCTCCAGGTACCCCAGCCTTGTGCCGAAATGTAGGGTGTACTCTCCCAAGCGGGAGAGGATAGTACGTTTTGTTGTCTTTTTCTTTTTGCTAGATCTTGAGCCAGCCTCAACCTCCTGCCTCTCCTCAGACTTGGCTTTCCTTCCATTCGATGGTTTCAGACTTAAAGCATTAAGCAATGGGTACCCTCTACAGGGTCTGGTTTTCCCCAGGGCGGGGGGCGGGGCGGGGGGGAGGGGCAGCAAGGGACCCATACCAGAAGCCTGACAGAAAGTGTTTTCTATACAGCGACATTTTACTTTTTTCTTCCCCGCCCCTTGGTTCTTCCTGCCTTTAACTAATAAAGAATTAAGAGGTAGAAACACTTTTTTTTTAAGGTCCTCCTTATTCAAGATTTTGAAATTCTTGGCCTGGGTGGGGCTAGAGAGAACTTGATGTTTTCTCCAGGAAGAAGAGTCCCAATTTGTACATCAGTGTTAAGAAGAAAATAAAACAGACACTTAGATGAGATACTCATGGACTATTTTAAAAATGTGTCATTAATATAAAAAAATTTATATTAGCAGTATTTAATCATTCTCACCTGTAAAGAATAAGAAAAACAGAAGGTAAATATTCTTACAGAGAATAGCAGAGCTTTAAGATTCATTTTCATCTTAAGTCCATTTTGTTTTGCCAATGTATTAATGTTTAGAGGTCTGTTATACTAATGTTATTTATTAATTTTTTTCATTTCCATACACAAGTTAACTAAAGAGCTTTTTCAAAGCACCTGTGTCTGTAAAAAAAAAGTATTTTTAAATAAAGTTTCTTTTGTTGTAGCAGACTTGAGTTGTGGCGCATATGGAACTGAGCGAGATGCGTAGGGCAGTTGTAGAGTGGAAGGTCTTGGTGGGTGCTGCAGTGCCAGCTAACAGATTCCTGGGAAGGGGGCCATAGGCCCTGGCCAGCAGCCTGCCCCACCCCACCAAGAGGGGGCACTTATCCTAAGTGCACTGAGACTTAAAGGAACTGCCCTGTCTGCTCCCGAGCTGAAACCATTTGCTCAAAAGTGGGAAACCCCCAGGCTGGGAAGGTGGCTCAGTGGTAGGTAGAATGCTTGCCTTGCATGCATGAGATCCTGGGTTCGATTCCTCAGCACCACCTAAGAGGAAGAAGCCAGGAATGGCTCTGCGGCTCAAGAGGTAGAGCCTTGAGCTGAAGAGCTGAGGGACAGCGCCCAGGCCTAGAGTTCAGGCTCCACTACTGACCAAAAAAAAAAAAGTGGGAACTCCCCCCACTTCAAAGGCATACCCCATCAGCAGTTCCCTTGAAAGTAGTTAAGTTCCAGAGGCCCCCAAGGTGACAAATGGAGAGCAATGGCAGGCTTCTGGGGTAATTAAGCTTTATTTTCCATATACATATATATATACACATATATATTTATAAAAAAGGAAGCGCTTTGCAAATTTACAACCTAGCAAAAACACACACACATACACATTCACACACACGTACATGTAACACCTCCAAAGCTCTAAGCCAGGCCTGTTTTTCATCCAGGTATCATTCTCCCATTTGGGCTCTTGAAGGGTCTGAGCCCATTCGCTTTATAGAAATTTGGTGACCATGTGACTGGTTTCGATACATGAGGAAGTCACCTGGGAGCCATCTTTGTCCCGTCTGTTGCCTCATGACCCCAAGGGGCTGGATGGATCCCTCGAAAGCTGTGCCCAATTTCACCACAGGGCAGGGATGCACCTTGGAAGCAATGATGCCAGCTCCTGGCTTCTGTCCAAAGACAAAAAAGGGGGCTGATGGAGAAGTAAGAGCAACTCTGCAGGGTACTCGAGCCAGGGGTGAGCAGTGCTGCTCGGAACACCAGCTCAGAGGAGCCACCCTAGCCCGCTGCTGTCAGACAGAACACAGGTTGACAGCCATAGCGTGTGTAAGGAGGAAACGCAGAGCCTCCTCTCCAGTCCTGGGGACCGAGGCCCTTGCCGGGATGGTCAGCACTCGATGCAGGTGGACTGGACCCTGAGAGCCTGCAGGGCGGAGTGCGGTCCTTCCCCAGACGGTGTTGGCCCCAGCCCGCTCCTCCGGAGCAGCTGCAGGTGAGCTGGAGCAGGGTGCTCTCAGTGTTCCCTTTTGCGGGTGTCGGCTGGGGAGAAGAGTGAGCAGGGAGCTGGAAACCTTCCAGGTGGGGATGAAGCTGAGTGACCTCGGGGGCTAATGCCTCAGATCGATGTATTTCTCTCCCTGAAAACGGGTAGAGAGGAGAATTAAGAGGAGAACATGCATGGAGGACGAGCAGAATTCGCAGTGAGCACTGAGGAGGGAAGAAAGGCGGAAGCTGATGAACCTGAGTGTAGGAGTCTGGAGGAAAGAAGCAGGGTTGGGGGCAGGGCAAGGGAGGGCAGACCCCCCCCCCCCACCTTTGTATCTGCGTGAAGAAACGGAAGTCACACTGTACACTTGGTGGCTGGAGCCACAGGCCCTGGCTAGGAAAAGGTACAGTGGTAAGATGGGGACTCTACTTAGCCGACCTCTGGGGTCCCTGTGACACTGCCTTGCCCTGCATGTGTCAGTAGTATTAAGGACTGAAGATGGGCCTGCTCCCCATCTCCAACCAAGGAGGAAAGACAAGAAAGAGTTAGTGTTCAGAGGATGAGCCCCGTTAGCCCTTGTCACCCCCAGTCCCTGAAGACGTGTCAGGCAGTGGCCACAGGAAGCAGCTCCTACCTGGTCGCCTGGAGCCCTCTTGTCTCCGCTGCTGCCCTGTAGAAGGCCCATCTCTTCTGGGAGCTTATCTGACTTAACTTCAACTACAAATTCGCTCTTACGAGACGGGGGCAGCGTGCTGGGAGGAGGGAGGTGAGAGGTTGGCAACTCAGGGGCGGGGTGGGGGCGTCGGGAGGGACGCTGGATGGGGGCATGGGCTCGTTGGTACCCTGGGCCGACTTTGGGGAGGATGTCAGGTAAGGAAATGAGAAGGCGTGCTTGATGGAAGCTGGGCAGCGGGTTGCGGAGCAGGGACTGCCCCACCCCAGGGTCCCGTTCCTGCTCCTGCAGGGCGAGCAGACACTGGGAGGGCAAGGGCAGGTCCCAAGAAGGCAGCAAGAAGCACAGGAGGGCGGGGAGAGGATGAGGGCTGAGAACCAGGCTTACATCTCTTGTTTGCCTGACCGCCCGCAGGGCAGCTTGCCCTTCTTGTAGAAGAAGTAGAGGACAGCGCCCAGCACGGCCAGGACCAGGATGCACACGATCACGGCCACGATGACCACGCCCTTGCTCTCGGGCTCTGGCAGCTTTTTCTCTGTCACACAGAGGCGGTCCCGGTCATGCTGTGCTTCAGGCTGCCACCTCGCCGCCTCTGCCACCACCCCACCAAGCCCAGAGCTGACAGAGGAGCCGCTACTCACCTTCCTCCACACGACCCCCCGTCGGGCACAGGGCAGAGAGGGTGCCCTGGCACAGTTCTCTTGCCAGGCCCGGCTTACCTGTGGAGGTGCTGTTGGCTCTGGCATGAGGACTGACCATGGTGGTGCTGAGGCCAGTGGTTGTGTTGGAGTCAGGTGTGAGGGTGGTTAAACTGACTGGGAGCAGAGGGATGGGTTGTTAGAAGCACATGTTAATGTCCCGGCCTGGGAATGCCCCTGCCATCCGCTGCAGGGAGACAGCCCTCACCCAGCTCCAGGACGAGGAGGGTGGTGTTTATTCCCAGGGAGTTGGAGGCTGTGCATTCTGCGCCTGTTGCCAGCAGCTCTGGGGTCACAAGGACATTCAGGGTGCTCAGTACTGTCTGCGGATCCTGTTCTTGTTGACTTGCCTAGGAGGAAGGAGGCAGCTCAGGGGGTGGGGAGGATCTCCGGTTATGGCCACAGGGCCTGGGCAAGGTTGATTGACTGACCGGAGGAGGGGGAAGGGGGGCTGGGCCTGCTTACCGTGCCATTCACATTCCAGAAGATGGTAGGCTGAGGATGTCCTGAGGCCTCACAAGACAGGCTGACCGTGGCATTCTCTTTCACCCACACCTTCCTCTGCTTTTGTGCCATCCATGGGGGCCCTTGAGCGGTCAGGAAGAGTGAGCTGCCCACTGAGCTAGCTGCTTCCACCCCTCTGCCGTTCCCACAATAGCAGGTGGATTTTTGGTCCCCAAAGCCATGCAACTGCGGGGGGTGATCTGGTCTCTGCCCAGACAGCCTTACCAAAAACGGCCACATTGACCAGCTGTGTGCGGTTCAGGCCAGGAACACTGGGGACAGACGCCATGCAGAGGTAGCCTCCTGCGGCCTCCCGTCTCAGGTTGGGAAACCGGAGCACAGATCCCTTTTCCAACACCTGGCCAGTCTAGGGTGAGAGGCGGGTCAGAAACTGAGGAGCAAGCCACGGTCACCCCAGCTCCAGACCCACCTGGATACCTTTTCTCTCAGCCACTGGAACTCCAGCTCCCTGTTGCTCTCTGCCTCACAGGTCAGCTCGAGGCTGCTGCCTTCCACGCCCTCAGGAGCTTCGGGACTCACCTGAATGTCCGACACATCTGGGGGCACAGCAGTCATGAGGGCCTGGGCAGGGTGGGGCCCGGGCCCCCTTGCCCCAGCCAGGCCTCCTGTCCTGGGCCCCCAGCCCCTCACAGTTCACCAGCAGCTCCTGGGGGTCACTCATCAGTGGTATCATGGTGTCCAAGTCCAGGCCCTGACATTCGTACAGCCCGCTGTGCTGCTTCTGGGCGGGGTCCAAGATCAGGATGCCATCGTCCAAGGTTTTCTCTTCCTCCATCTCCCTGGTGCTGGGGTTCTAGGAAAGCATGAGGGGGTGAGTAGAGCTCCCCTCAGCCATCCAGCTGCATCTCTGGCCTGCACCCGTCCGCACCCAGCACCGAGACTTCCATACCTGCTTGTTGATGTTGAAGTGGGGCTGGGGGTTGCCATCTGCCAAACACCTGATCTCCACGCGGTCCCCTTCCTTCAGCACCCCCACGGGCTCAACTTCCATCCACACTCTTTCAGCAGGGTCTGTGTGGGCAGAGAGGGAGGCTCTCAGCTCAACAGCAGGGGGCCAGCAGCCCCCCACCCCCACCCCCCAGAGCGGAGCAGCACTTGAGCACTCACAGAAAACAGGGACGGTGACTTCCTTCGATTCTTTCATGTGGTTCCCACTAGGCAGCCGGTAGCTGAGCTCACAGTAAAACTGGGCGTCTTTGTCCTCCTTAACCAGCTGAGCCTTCAGAACACTCTGCAAGGTGTATAAGCCGTTCGACTCCACAATCTGCGATGACTGAATTTGCACACCTGGGCAGGGAGCAGGGGAACAAGGCTCAGCCTCAGCCCCATCCCATGGTCTCCCATAAGGGGTGACAGACACCGAGACACCGAAAGAGCCTTGCCCTGCAGAGAGGGTCAGGGTCACATGCAAACTGGCAATCCTTCAGCACTTTTACTGATCACTGCCTATCCTGGAAAAAATGAGCCAGGCACTGGCGGCTCATTCCTGTAATCCCAGTGACTCAGGAGGCTGAGATTTTAGGATTATGGTGTGAAGCCAGCTGGGGCAGGAAAGTCCATGAGATTCTTATCTTCAATGAACCACCAAAAAGCTAGAAGTGGAGTTGTGACTCAAGTGACAAGAGAACCAGCCTTGAGCAAAAAAGCTAAGGGACAGCGTCCTGGTCCTGATTTCAAGTCTCAGTACTGGCACAAAGAAAAAAAATGTACAATGATGTGTACCCCATAACGCTTCAGTGATGAAAAAAAATATATATTATATATGAGGGGTGGGCAGAGGTGTAGCTCAATGGCAGAACGTGATTAACATGTCCCTGGCTCTGCATTCCATTCCTAGCACCCCCTGCAAAGAACCTAAAGTGACTAGAAAAATGAGAAGCACTTGAGATCTGAACCACTAGCAGAAAACTCAGCAGTAAGCAAAATAAGCAGGTGTACCTAAATAGATTGATCCGGAAAGACTGCACGCTCGCGCTCCGGCCTACACACACACACACACAAACACACACCACACCCACATAACACACATACACACACACACACACACACACACACACACACCACACCACTTAGATCAGGTTGTTTCTCAGCCTCAGCATTATTGATGTTTCTGGCCAGAATTAACTCAGTGTGGCAGGGCCATCCTGCGTACTGGGGGTATTTAGCAGCATCTTTGACCTCTACTCACAGATGTCCCTGTTCTTGTGGCAATCTGTATCACCTCCAGACACTGCCAAATATCTCTAGAGAGAGTGGGGGTACAAACTCACCCCTGTTTAAGAACCACTGCTGAGAGAGTAAAACCTAACTCCACAGCTCTTGCATGCATGAGTAAATGCATGGAAATAAGCCTGAAAGAGTACTGACAACAGAGATTATTCTGGGAGGGTCTGGGCCAGGAAGAAGGAACTCCTAGCTTTTCTGTATCATTCAAATTGTTATGGAAGGGGCTGGGAAGGTGGCTCAGTGGTAGAGCGCTTGCCTTGCATGCCTGAGGCCCTGGGTTCAATTCCTCAGCACCACATAAGCAAAAAGAAAAAAGCTGGAAGTGGCACTGTGGCTCAAGTAGTAGAGTGCTAGCCTTGAGCTGAAGAGCTGAGGGACAGCGCCCAGGCCCAGACATCAGGCCCCATGACCGGACCCAAAAAAAAAAAAAAATTGTTATGGAAACGTTTCAAGCGTCACTTGTGTAACTTTTTTTTTTTTTTTTTAAACTAGTCCTGGGGCTTGAACTCTGGGCCTGGGCTCTGTCTCTGAGCTGCTTTTGCCCAAGGCTGGCACTCTACCACTTGAGCCACAGCGCCACTTCTGGCTTTTTCTGTTTATGAGGTACTGGGGAATCAAACCTGGGGCTTTGTGCATGCTAGGCAAGCACTCTACCATTAAGCCACATTCCCAGCCCACTTTTTTTTTCTTCTTTACTGCAAACTCAAGGAAATGAGAGCTGGTATGTGTGGTCCACAGCAAATACTACTCACGGTTCTTCTCCTCCCTCAGGGGCCGACCGTTCTTGTACCAGACGACTTGAGGAATGGGGTACCCGTTCCTCCCCACGCAGGTAGCAACCTAAGGAGGGCAGAGTGTGCATTTCCTTGCCTGTCACCCCCCAAGCTCCTCAGCCCCCGCTTGCCACCCTGCCTCCCTCGCATAGCTCACCTCCTCAGGCTCCCTACTGTCCACGGGGATGCCCACAGCATTGGCCTGAATGGTTGGCTCCTCTGGAGCTTCTATAAGGGAAGGGAAGTGGTCAGGGTACAGCTCCCAGCCTGCACTGCCCTGAGAGAAATGGAGGGGGGGGGGTCACTCACTGTAGACACGGAGCTGGATGCGGTGATCCTGGAGCCGAGGGCTCTTGCTCTGACACAGGAAGACCCGGTCATCATGGGGGGTCACCTGATGCAGGGCCAGGGTCGCCCCTGGCCCCTGGAGGCTGAGTCGGTGCTCATACTCCCCGTGGGCGCTCTGGCCCTGGCCCTGGCGCACATGGAAGATGGCTGTTTGCTTTTCCTTGTGGATCTGAAGGGAGAGGAGGAGAAAGAGAGAGAGAGGAGGGTCCTGGGGTACCTGGAGCAGACTTTCCACCCCCCTCCACCCCTTGCTACCCTCCCAGGCCCAAGCACTCACAGAAAACCAGTCCACCTGGCTGAGGTTGCCCAGGGCATGGGGTGGGCCACACTTCAGGAGGGCCGTCCCGCCCACTTCCACTTCCACCAGCTCGGGCGCAGGCTGCTGGGCCTCTCCGGGCACACCTGGGGGGGGACGAAGGGGGCACCCCAGCAGCTGTGTCAGCCCTGGTGGGCTTCCTGACCTCCTCCCCTCACAGGATCACTGCAGCTGTTCTGTTCCTCTGCCACGCAGTGTCTGGAGAGGGCCGTCCTCCCTCACCCTCCACCTCACCCTGCTGTGCCCCCCCCACACCCGGGGACAGCCCTGTCCCAGCCCAGGGGATCCCTGGTCCTTGGAGCCAAGATGGGGCATTTGAGCAGCAAGCAGACAAGGCTGGCAAAAGACAGGGGCAAATGGGCTGTGGTCCAAGAGGAAGTCCCCTTGGCTCCTGGACCCCTCCTCTCCGAGTGAGCTCAGAGAGTGGGAATGCAAGGCATGTGCCAGGCTGGGGCACACAGGCCCCTTTGTGTCCCCACCCGAGGGAAGATATCACTCTTCTCCCCTCCCCTGAAGACTCAGTGAGCCGACTCCAGCCAGAAGCGCCCAGCTGTGTGTGTGTGTGTGTGTGTGTGTGTGTGTGTGTGTGTGTGCCCCCCATCGGGAGACCCCCCCATGCTGGGGGTCGGGGTCAGGGCCGGGTGGCGCGCAGTGACGTCAGCAGTGCCAGCACGCCGCCCGCGCTGCGAGGCGGTGAGGTCACTCAGCGCCATCTGTCCGGGCCCGGGCTGGCTGCGGAGCCAGGGGGGCAGGTGGCGAGCCCGCCCCCCGCAGGCGCCTCGGATCCCCCACTGCCCCGGGAGCCAGAAACGCAGGGAAGGGCGGGGCCGGACTTGGCGGCTGCGGGCGCGCTTCGCTCTTTCCCCAGAAACCCGGCCGGTCGTGCCAGGCGGCAGGCCGGGGAGCCGGGCGCCCCGGGGACGCGGCTGGCACCGGGCGCAAGGCCGGCGGAGGGGGCCAGGCCAGGCCCGCAAGTAACGCACCGCCGGGGCCCGTGCGAGGCAAGGGACCCGGCCGCTAGACGGTTCCAGAAAGGAGATCGGAGGTGCCAGAGCACTCGTGCTTCTGTCTAAAGCCGCTCCGCCCCGGGGCCCGGCCACCTGTGACCCGCTCCCCCCGCCCCGCCCCGGGCGCGCGGCGACCCCGCCTGCCTGCCAACGCCCCGCCAGGCCCGGCTCCCGGCCCGCGGCGGAGTGGGGGGATCCGGCTCCCCCCAACCCGGCCAGCCAGGCTGCCTTTCCCAGCAACAGGCAGCGCGGGGTGCCCGGGTTTGGGGGTGCGGTCGAGCTGCGCGCCCCCCCCGCGGCTGCAGCCTCGGCGCCCCCAGAACCAGCACCTGCGGGACACCCCCCCCCCTCCGGCCCAGAGCTCCCCGGGCTCGGCCCCACCCCTTCCCGCTCCCGGCCGCTCCCGCGCCCCGGGACGCTCGAATCCCCGCTGCAAAGTGGAGTTGTGCGGGGGTGCGCGGGGAGCCTGGGTCCCACAGCTCCGCTCCCGGGCATTCTCCGCCCCGGGCCCGTCCGGAAGGCGCGTTCCCCGGCGAACTCACCCGAGGCGCAGCGCCAGCCACAGCCGGCAACGATCACCCAGGCGCAGACGAGCCGGAGCGACCCCATGCTTCCCGGCCGGAGGGCGAGAGCCAAGTGAAGAGCTCGCGGCCGCCGGGGGCTGACGTCAGGGGGGCGGGGAGGGGGCCCCGAGCGCGGGCCGCCCCGCCCCGCCCCGCGCAGCCCCCCGCGCCCGCCCCGCAGCCCGAGGGGGCGGGCCCCGAGCGCCGGCCCGGGAGCTGCGCCCCTGAGCGCGGCCGAGGTCGGTCGGCGCCCGGGCCCCGGCGCGCCGAGGCTGAGCGGGCAGTGACAGGTGTGTCGGAGCCGGGCGGACCGGCCGAGGCTGCGGCGAGAAGCTGGCCCCGATGTCAGCCCAGGGCAGGGCAGGGCCGGGCGTCCCCGCAGCGCCCTGCCCCGCGCAGCTCCAGCCGGCCGGCGTCGGGGCGTCCCGGGGGCTCTCCCGGCCGGGCCCCTCCGCCCCCGGGGCGGACCGCGCGCCAGGTCCCGCAGACCCAGAGGTGTCTGCGGAAGGGTGGACACGGTGCCGTCTGGGCTCCTCTTCCATCGCACGCTCCCCAACAGCGAGGGAAGGGCCCGGAGTCACGACCCAAGGAGGGCACTGTCCCCGCCCGGGGCCCTCTTCGCTCAGCCTGGCCTCAGACCCCTCCACCCACTGGGTGGCGAGAGGAAAGGAGACGCAAGAGTAAAGGATGCCGGGGCCCACCTGGACGGGCAGAAACCTGTTGGCCGTTCCCAGCTTTCCCTACCTGACCGACTGGGGCTGGCCGCTGGCTCTGATCACCTGCGGCCCCAGAGCCCAGTCGGCACGGCAAGGGGCGCGCGGTTCTACCGCCACTCTCCTCCCCGACCCCACCTTCTTCTGGAGTCTTCTGGCCTCTTGGATGGAGACTCCAAAGCCAAGTGCATAGCTCTCGCCTCACAAAGACCCCAGCCGTCTCCTGCGGCTCCTTCACCAGAGTCAAATAGGGGCCTGGATTTGGGGGTGTAGGCCTGTCACCCCTTCGGACAGTCTTTCTGCTGGGCCGCAGGGGGTGGGGGAGGCAAACCGAGGCAGAGCCGGCCAGGTGATCTGCTAGCGCCCTCTGGGTGGTGTTGGGATGACGCAGAGATGACTGGCAAACCACACCAGCCTCTCTTTCAGAGCCTTGCTGACCCCCTCCCCCTCCTCCATTAGCGTCCAGCCAGAGACGATGCCAAGCTGGCCCGGGCCAGGGCCTTGGAGCCTGGTGGGAGAGAGCGAGCGGGGTACCGGGCTCTCCCACTGCTGTCCACGGCCATCATACAGACTCTGGCCCCAGGCCCAGAGCAGGATGGAACGGTGAGCTTGCTTGTCTGCGGGGCAGGCGAGGAAATGGCTGAAGGATGTTGTCTGCGCTGGCAGGCCAGGAGCCGGGCACCGCGCAGCCGCCTGCCCCCACCCCCAAACACCATTAACTAATCATTCTCTTCTCCCGAGGCACGAAAACAAAGGCAGCTAACCACCAAGGACAGTCAGTTCTGGATTCTTCTTCCGCCCTTGGTCGGGAAAGAGAAGCCAGGTGGGGGTTGGAAGAGGCTCTGCAGCGAAAGGGAAATAAGATTAAAGGCCAGGGTGGCAGCCCCTCCTCCGGGCCGGCGCACAAGCGCTGGCTCTGTCCCTGGGAGAAGCGCTGGCCGAGAGTGGGTGGGAGAGGTCAGGGGGCACGCAGCTTAGGGAGGAGCGGGGGCACTTTGGGGTTCCACACCAAAGAAGGGTCAGGACCTTGGAGGGGACTCAGAGGGAATGGAGCCGGAAGGACAGGAGAGAGGGCAAGGCTGGAGGACGGAACAATTCCTCCAAGACACCAGCCTAGAGCTGCAGCAGCAGCAGCAGCAGCAGCACCAGGCTTTCCCGCAGGCCGGGAGACCAGCACAGAGAGGAGGAGGTGGCCGCGGAGATGGAGGTCGGCAGAGATGGGCCTTCCACCTGGCAGGAATCGTATCTGGCCTGGGCCAGATTTAGGCCAAAGCCAGAGCAAGGGGCAGAGTGCTAATCCTGCCCCATCTCCCTCCAGGAGGGGAGATGAGGGGATCCCCATCCTGCTTTCCTCCCCTCGTGGGTAGGCCCAGGCACCCCAGAGTTAAGAAACTCCTCTCCCCTCTGCACAATGCTCCCGGTGTAGCACTCTGGTTTAGGTCTGACCACAGGCAGAGAAACTGAGGCAGGATGGCGTGGCGGCCCCGGTCTAGTCCTCTGGGGAGGTGGCACTTTCCACTCCTTGTAAGGAGACCTGGGAAGGAATAGTGCTGGCGATAGAGACAAGGAAGCAGCCCCCCTTGCTGGAGAGGGCGGGCTGGCCGAGGAAGGAAGCGGATAAAGATGTGTTTGCAGCTGGGACCAGGCGATGGGGGGTGGCAGTCTTGGCATCGGTGGAGGCTGGGGAACCCCCTGACCGGCGGGTCTTGGGAGAGGAGGCCGGGGACGTGCGGAGGGGGAGCGGACCAAGGTTTTATTGAGGAGTGAGTACGGGTAGGAGTAGGGCGAGGTCGCGGAGGACACGGAGCCAGGAAGCCGGAAACTCGGGGGCCGGGTGGGCGACGCGTGGAAGGCTGAATGGGGGGAAGCAGCCGCGCCTCGCGAAGTTAGGTCACCGTCTCCCCCACGTCCTCCGCACCTGACCGGGGCGGGAGAGGAAGGAGGTGCGGCCGCCCGGGGGTCCCCGGCACCCCACGGGCGGGGGTGGGAGGGGCTGCTTTCTAGCTTGGAAAAGCCCTGGGTTCATCTCCACCCTGGAGGCGCGGCAAAGGCCCCATTGTGCCGGGGAGGGGGAGGGGGCGGGGGGAGGGCGAGTGGCACAAAGGGGAGGATTATGTGGAGCGCAGGCCCGGGAGGGGCGGGTGGGGACCTCCTCTGGTACGGGCTCCGGTCGGGAGCTGGGGGGAGAGGGGGTCCCAGGCATCCGGTGGCCCGTCCCGGGGAGGGGGGCCGAAGACGGATTCCCGCGGCCTGGCGTTCCCAGGGTCCGCGGGTTCTGTTCCCAGGCCCCGCGCATTCCGGGGCCTCCCCTGGGAGCCGCGGGCCGCTTCCCCGCCGGGAAGGGCGGGAAGGGGGGAGAGGATGTGGGTGAATCAGGAGTGACCGGGGGCGCGGCGCCCTCCAACCAGGGGGGGAGCGGGCGGGGGGGGTCACGACCTCCCCGGCGCCCCGCCGAGCGCGCGGAGCAGCCCGGGGGCCCGGGGGCCCCGGCGATCCCGGTCCACCTGCCCCGCCGCGCCCCGCCGCCCGGAGTCCCCCAGGCCGGCCGGCGAGGCCGGGGGGAGGCGGCGCATCCGGCGGCGCGCACCAACCCAAACATTACCATAAATGCTCAGGCCGCGGGCGCGGGCGGGAGGGGACCCGGGCGGGGACCCCGGCTCTCCGGAAGCCCGGATCCGGCTCTCGAGCCCTTCCCCGCGCGGCGGCGAGGCCGTGTGTCCCCGGCGTGGGGCCGGGGAGCTGGCGCGCGCTGCCCCCGAGGGCGGGGGGGGCGGGAGCCCCCGGGGCTCCGGGTTCCTGGGAGCTGCGATTGTGGCCCCAGCCCTCCGGCCTCCAGTTCCGCACCCCATCCTCTTCCTGCCCCCCGCCCCGCCCCCCCAAGGCTTCACTCCGGGAGTGAAGGATGCTGGGGGCGGGTTAGGATGCGGGGACTTCACACCTCGCCCCTGGGGAGCACTTCACATCCGCTCCCCAAAATACCACCACCCAAGCCCGGGAGGAAGGTCCCGGGAGAGCTGGTTGGACTTGGAGTTGTCCCTGAGGGAGGCGCCGCTGGGCTGAGTGGAGGAGCCGGTGGGAAACCCCCGAGGGCCGCGTCCCGGGTCTCCGGGAAGGGCGCGTGTGCGAGGCCCAGCCGCCCCCTTGTTTTCCCGGGCTCTAACTTTGCCTCCTTAATCCTTTTTTCCTCATGAGTCTCCGCAGTCACCTTGGAACAGCCAGACTGAGCCATAGCTATCTTTACGCTAAGGGACAGAAGCTAGCCCGAAGTTAAAGCCAGCCCCACAGGACAGATCACCTCCCCCCCCCCCCCCCCCCGCAAATCCCTTACGAGGGTGGGTGGCCCCCTGGGCAGGAGTAATCACGGAACTAGACCGCTCCGTGATTTCTCCAGAAGCCCTCGCACACCGGAGAAGATGAGGAGTCGGAGCTCTGGCAACCCCGTTCACCTGTCCCGCCTGTGCTGCGCGCCCCAACCCTCTCCTCCGCTGCGGTCCCCAAACTCCCAAGGCCCTGAGAGTCCCCGAGATGCACTTGGGGCCACTGAACCCCTTTATCTCGGCTTCCTTATATGGCTACCTTGATTCAGATGAACTTTCTCTGCCTTTCACTACCGTCGGTCTGTAAATCGGGACGCCACCGACCCAGGTGCGGGTTTGTGGAGGGGGAAGGGACTCTTCACTTAGGGTCCTTGACTTCAATCACAGAATAAGAATTTCTGGACAAATCATACTGGTAAGGAAGCTTGGTAGAGCTCTATTAAGTGAGCACGCAGACAAGCAGAAAGGCAGATGCTCACTCTAGCACAGTGTGAGTATTCTCAAAGGGAGAGACACAGGTTTTTTTTTTGTTGTTGTTCTTGCTGTTTGTTTGCTTTTTTGCCAGTCCTGGAGCTTGAACACAGGGCCTGGGTGCTGTCCCTGATTTTGCTCAAAGCTAGCACCCTACCACTTGAGCCACAGAGCCTCTTCCAGCTTTTTCTGTTTATGTGGTACCGAGGAATCGAACCCAGGTCTTCATGCATGCTAGGCACGCACTCTACCACTGAGCCACTTTCCCAGCAGAGACGCTGAGTTCTTGACATCAGGGGTGTATTTATGTGATAGAGGCAGGCCTGACTTAAAGTTTTGCAAAGATAGGTATGTATATTTGCTCTTAATCACTTTTACAACTTAGGCTCAGGGTCTCTGAGACTGACTAGTACTTTTTTGTTGCTGGCCCTGGGGCTTGATCTTAGGACCTGGGAGCTGTCCCTGAGCCTCTTTGTGCTTAAGGCTAGTGCTCTAGCACTCAAGCCCCAGTGCCACTTCCCACTTTTTCTGAGTAATTTATTGGAGATAAAAGTCTCATAGACTTTTCTACCTGTCTA